AATCAATCATCGATTACTGTGACGATGAGAAAGTTACGTGAAATTTTTGGGAGAAACAACGTGCCGACAAAACGCACTATTTATCGTGTAGTGAATGATTTCGAAGAAAGAGAGTCTGTAGGTGATAGGCCCAAGCATGGACCACAACGTACTGCAAGATCGGCTGAAAACATTACTGCTGCTGAAGATAGTGTTCAAAACAATCCATCAACCTCAATTCGACGCCGTGCTTAGGAGCTTGGTCTTCAAAGAACAACTTTGGCCACAATTTTGCACAAGGATTTGCATTTGTTTCCATATAAGATTTAGTTAACACAAGAGCTTCTTCCGCAATACCATTTACGCCGCCGTACATATGCCAATAGGATGTTACAGCTCGCCCATGACAACCCCGATTTTCATGAAAAAATCATAATGAGTGACGAGGCACATTTTCATTTGAATGGATATGTCAATAAACAAAATAGTCGGTTCTGGGCAATGGAAAACCCTCAAATTATTCATCAGTCACCTCTGCATCCATTAGAAGTAACAGTCTGGTGTGCAATTTGGTCAGGAGGAACCATTGGACCTTACTTCTTTGAAAATGAAAACGGCGTAACGGTAACTGAGAATGGGGAGCGATATCGTGATATGATTGAAAACTTTTTAACGCCACAACTGCATGCTTTGGGCTTGATTAACATGTGGTATTAACAAGACAGTGCCACATCGCATACAGACAGGATTACATTGGAATTACCGCAAGACCTCTTTCCACAAGTTATTTCAAGAAATGGTGATGTTGATTTGCCTCCATGATCGCCTGATTTGGCTGCTCCGGACTTCTTTTTGTGGGGATATCTCAAAAGCAAGGTATATGCAAACAAACCAGAAACGCTTGAGCAACAAAATATTCGTGATATAATTAATGAAATATCGCGTGAAATGTGTGAGAATGCAATGAAAAATGTGCTCAAAAGGGCTTGCATTTGTAAGGCTAATAGAGGCGGACATTTATCTGATATTGCCGACATTAAATAAAACATTTATCAATATAAAATCCATTCTCTTTAATTTAATCAAAAATTATAAACAAAGTAGTATACCTTCCCGGCGGACACCCTGTATCTTGCATCTGTAAGTCCGCCATATTTGCAGATATGCAAAGTTGCAGACGTGGTGCATTTTCTGTAATCTCACCCTTAATCTATTAGGAGGATGGTAACACAATCCAACCACCACAATAAGACAATTTCAAAGATTTTACAGGTTTTGTCAAGATGATACATAGGTAGATTCTTTGCATTATTAAAACGAGAATTGAAATGTCAATCTGACACTTCTGGTCGCCACTAATCAAATTTGAGAGATCTAAGATCGTTCGTGGATTTGCGATCCTAGAATATCATATTTTAGGAACCTTTTAAAACGTAAAAATAAAATGACATTACTTTTAATCATGATAAAAGTTATTCTAAATTTAATGACTTCACAAGCGTTTAAAATATACAAATATATCCTATTTTATAACATAATTAATTTTTAACTTAGCTTAAGCCTAGCTTTACAAACTTCAGATTTAACTGACTAAACATATTCGTTAAAAAAATTCCTAATTAAACGTAGGTACCTAGGTACCTACCTATAATATTTTTTTTATATTAAGAATTATGGAAGATTTATGTAATTATTTTTTATTTAAATAATATACAGTGTGTTCCCGAACATAATATTTTCTTTATAAGGATATACAATGTGTCCAATATACAGGGTGATTAATAATGAATTGAAAACTGGTATAATCCTGTAGTAAAATGTTGATAGCAAAGAAAGAAATATTTTATTAGATATTTTGGAATATTACAATACCCGCTTCACCGATATTTATGAAATTTTGGTAACTTCAGTTTTTCTAAGTCGTAAATATCAACGTACTATTATTTTTAGGTTACTTTGCAAGGGGGTGCTTCAAATGCTAAGAATATGACTTTTTGGCTATACAATTTTCATTTTAAATTATCAACATTTTACTGAGGTCATATTTAGCCAATCGTCATATTTTGATGATTCTACCCTTGCTCTATGTATAATTGATTATGAATCACTCTATATAATAAAGACTGAATATTCAAATTATGTAAACTGAAATAAAAGATGCATATTACAGGGTGCAATAATATAGTGTAAACGGATTACAAACTAGAATGAAGATATAATGTTTGGCATTCTATATTTTACTCTTCACAGTTTAACAGACCCCCCTTAACCACCATTTTTAATCAGATTTTTTCCTAATTAATAGACTTCATCTCCTTGATTTTTCTGAATATTTTAATTTGATATCGTTTTTTGAGTTAGGATTTTTTTAAATATTTTAATCCTCCTTAACCCCCCATTTTTACTCAATTTTTTTTCGTAATCAATAGGCTTCATCTCTTTAACACGTTAACTGCTAAGGTACCAGGTCCTGTGGCCACGCAAGTTTTTTTAGGAAGTGGTTTATTAATGACTAAAAATTACTAAGAAACTAAAAAAATACAAAAGTTAATGTATTTTTGAAAAACTGCTATGTGCAGTTTTGGTACGCACGGTACATAAACACAGTATCTTTAATACTTTTGTGTCATGCGCCATGATTACCACATATGGACACATCAACACATGAATCTAAAAAACTAAACAAAATTTTCATTTTATTACTTATGTTTATCCTTTTCTAATCTTAATTATCACGTTTTTCTTACTAATTTTTTAAATTTTATGTTTCTTTGCGTTATAGCTAGGTTTTGTAAAAATTACGGATTTTTTCCTTTAAGTTGACGTATGTAGGTAAATATAAATAAGCAAAAATAAACATTTTTTTTTCTCTAACCTTTATTTTTTTGTTGTATTACCAAAAAAAAATTAAAAAATCGGAAGTCATTACTACATAGTACACTCCCACGTCAGACCTAATAATACATGCATTTAAATCAACGCTAAGTACGGCCGTCGCATGTACAGACGGCCGAGAAATTTATAATGCATGTGTCCTCGTAAGGTACATATGGCAAACAGTTAAAATGAGCTGTGTCCAGAAATGATACACATGGCAGTTAACGTGTTAAGGGGCTTGATTTTTGCTAAAATTTTCATGTTGTTTTGACTTTTTTTTTTAATTTCAACCCCTTTTAAAGCCCTCCATTTTTGATCAGATTTTTGTTTAATCAAAGGGCTTCTTGCATTTATAGAACTTGATTTTTGTTAGAAATTTCAGGTAGATATAATTTTTCATTTTTAAGTTAGACTTTTTTTATATTTTTGCCCTTCTTTAACTCCCCAATTTATTGAAATGTTTTTCACTATCAATAGGCTTCATCTACTTATAGATCTTGATTTTTACTAAACATTTCATGTTAATATCGCTTATCGTTTTTTATTTATGACTTTTTTTAATTTCAATCTCCCCTTAAGCCCCATGTTTGATCAGATTTTTTCAAAATCAATAGGCTTTCTCCCCTTACAGATCTTGAGTTTTGCTAAAAATTTCGTTTCGTTTTTGAGTTAGATATTTTTTGATATTTCAACCCCCCCTTAATCCCCCATTTTTATTTAATTTTTTTTCAAAATCAATAGGCTCTGTCCTCTTATACAACTTGATTTATCCTAAAATTTTAAAGTTGATATCATTTTTAGGGTTTCGTACTGGAAAGGTAACCAACGGGACCCTATTACTAAGCATTGGCTGTCCGTCCGTCTGTCTGTCAGCGGGTTGTATTTCATCATCCGTAATAGGTAGACAGTTTAAATTTTCACAGAATGTGTATTTCTGTTGCTACTATAACAAGAAATAATAAAAATAAATTAAAAATTATAGGGGGCTTCCCTACTAGAGACGTGTTTTTTACTTGGATTTTTTTGTATTTAAACAGTACCTACATACTATTAAATCTTGTACGATGGTGCGGAACCTTTCATGGGCGAGTCCGACTCGCGCTTGGTCGTTTTTTGTTCGTTTTTTACTCCGTACTGACCACATACTTAAATAGGTATACGGCGTAAAACCCTCTGCGCATCTTTACTGAGTGTTTAATAAAAGAAGATAGAAATGACCGCCATTTTTATATAAACAAACTGAAACTTATGCAACCAATTTATCTTTCCATCTGTCAAAAGTGTCAAATTTTAATGTGTGAATTTGGTTAAATTTTTTTGTGTTATTTTAGAATATTTTGATTGTGGATATTATTTTCTAAGTGTATAAACGTTTTATTTATTTTAACATTTGTGAATAGACTTTAATCCCAGTATAAGTTCTCTATACTGGGCTTTATTCAAGATGTCTTGTAAGATCTTGCAAGAACATAAGAAGATTGTTGCCAATAGATTCAAATGTTACATTCCACAAGTAATAAGATTTAGCAAAAATAAAGGATATGAAAGCAGTGTCTTTATATTATTTTAGGGTTCCAAAACAAGCAGATCGTTCCTTATTGTGGTTATCTGCCATATAGAGATTGGACAAAATTTCTTTTAAGTTGTTAGTACAATTCACTGCAGAATCAATAAGGACGACCCATTCACTAAAAATTTGTAGCTTTTAGAAATTATACAAGAAGAAAGTAAATTGTTTAAAATAAAACAAATATGCAACCATCAATTTAATTTTAAAGTATCCTGGAAATTTTAATATTTTTAACTTCCTCTACTTTTGTCATTTAAAATTAGTATTTAGGTATTTAATCTAGTATTTGTCGGCCTATTATTTATCAGCCTAACATGTATTTTTAAATATTAAAATATTTTTATTTGTTGTAGAATAAAAATTTAATTCAAATATAATATTGTATTATTTCTTTTAAAAAATCTGTACAAAATTATGTATTTAAAAGTGGAAAGAGCTAGACATCTGCAACCAAGTTTTCATATTGCTGTATTTCTGGTCACCTATGTACTAGTAATCTTGTATAAAAATGGCCGCCCCTATGTTAAACAGGTCGGACGTCTCTCTTGCTCCGTATACCTATTATAAGTATGTGGTACTGACAAAGAACGTATCATTGGACGGACGAGCGACTACTGTGTGAAGAGTATAATAACAGGTCCGTTTTCGAGAAAAACAGAAATATTGTATTTTCATTCTTTGGCTATAAAACTTTTATTTATCGACATACCGCTAAATAATTGTATTAACATTTTTTGTTAAGTTTCCTAAGTATTACAAAACTGCATATTCAAATTATTGGTAACACAATGTTTTGTTTTTTTTATTTTAAATATGAACCCGAATGTACCCATGTAATCCATAATTATTTATTTAATAAATTTGTCCAGTTATATACAGCATTATGAATCTAAGTAAAAATAATTGTGGCCTTGAATATGATCATTAGTACATGCAATAAGACTAAGTTTTTTTTTTTTCGAATTTTCATATTAATTTAATCAACAATCTTTCTGAGGTTTTGCCAACTGTTATAATTTTCTCCGGATTTCACTTTTTTTATATATTTTTATGATTAGTGAAACTGTCCATTCGCCAAACTATATTTATGTTAATTTTAAAGTTAATTCAATTTTATGAGATTATTGTTATTGAAAGTAACAAATACATTAAAAACCATATTTTATTTATGGAAACTATTGTTTATTGTTCATATATCTCAAGATTGTTTTGCTCTAAAATGTCAAACTGTATCCATAAGAAAGGAATGCACTATTTCAGGAACACCGAGTATACTTAAATTTTAATAATTTTCATAAAAATCAGTTAAATTGAAATTCAGTAAAACTTGACTGCATTAACGGATTTACAAAATGTTACAAGTAGAAAACGAACAACACTTAAAAGTCTTGTATATAGTTGTAGGTGGCACTAAATGTAAGTCTTCTTCTTCGTCGTCCCCTGATATGCTCATTTCTTCTATGCTAAAAGTATCAGTCAATTCGTGGTGAACTTTTGATTCTTTTCTCGCTTGAGGAAAGAAATTTGCTATGTCCTCTTCGCTAAAAAAGAAAAAAATATATATTTAACTTATTTTATATCTATCGTAGGTAGGCAAAGGAGTATAAGTTAAAAATTTAGAAACTGAGTAAATCTATGTTCTATGTTATACCGGGTGTTTCAGATTTAAACGGACACAGCTTAATGAGAGGTAGAGTACACTTAGCTGAGTTCAAAACACCCTCATACTTAGCCTTTAATCTTACTCGTTTCTGAGATATAGGGTGTTTTATGATTTTTTGCCAAAACTAAAATCAGCCATTTTGTTTGAACTGCTAGAGATATTTTAATAAAATGTTGTACAAAAGTTACACTCTCTGAGGTTAATCAAAACCATAATTAAATTTTAAAAATTCCAGGACTGGATTCTCTTTTTTTTATATTGCTCTTCTTAGCTAGAATATCACCCTGTATATTGGATTTTAACAAATTTTACTGCACATTTTCATAGTATATGGTTCAATAAATAAAATAATGTAATAATATTTAATGGCACCTACTTGATTTTCTTTCAGTAAATTTTTATAATGGAGACTACAATATACAATATTCAAATTAAATATTTTACTCTGTACTTTTACAACTCTAAATTGTACAAGAAATTGTACAAGAAATTGTACAAGAAATTGTACCAGAAATTGTACAAGAAATTGTACAAGAAATTGTACAAGAAATTGTACAAGAAATTGTACAAGAAATTGTACAAGAAATTGTACAAGAAATTGTACAAGAAATTGTACAAGAAATTGTACAAGAAATTGTACAAGAAATTATACAAGAAATTGTACAAGAAATTGTACAAGAAATTATACAAGAAATTGTACAAGAAATTGTACAAGAAATTGTACAAGAAATTTTATCAAATCTTGTATAAGAAATTGTGTAGTCTAAAGCAGTCTTTTATCAGTCTTTACATATTATGTTTTAATCGCCAAAGTAGGCAATACCGTATACATCCATAAAAATTGCGGGAATTTTATTCCGTACGGTCATACCACACTATTTAGTTAATAATTTTCGTACGAATAAAGCTTGAGGTGAATAAAAATTGGTGATTTGGAAAAAACATAGTACGTACCTACCTAGTTAAATAAACAGCAACAAGCTATTTATATAATAAATCTTATATCCTTTTTATTATTCTATGCCATGAAATCTGCAAACTACCGTTCATGGTTACGCAGCTTTTATTTAAAACTTTTTTTTTTGTATTATACAATAATAATGATAAGGATTGGTATTTTATAATCAATAACCCTGTTTAATTTCGAATCCCTTCGAATCACCGCTTGCCACCTCAACCCACTTGGATTTTATAACACATCCAATAATCCCCATAAACGCCTTAAACATGCCAAGAAATACCTTAGCTAAGGTTAAAATTGTAATGAAAAAATATAAGGAAGACGAAACTGATACTTCCAAATTTTGGACAATCTTCTCTATTGATAAGAAACATCAGCTTATATCTACTATGACTCCCTACCGAGGTTTGTATACTATTTTATTTACAATCATCATATTTCGATCAAAGTTAATTAATCTCTGTTTCGTTCTGAACATACCTAAAATATTACATTTAACGACAAATTACCAAGCGCGCGGTTTTCTCAGAATAATCAAGTAAATATATCGTTACTGTGATTACGGGGTAAACAACTGTCACCAATATAAATAAATGTCAGATAAAGCCGGATATTAAATTCGCGAATAATAAATATCAATAAGTAGTTTGTTGTATTTTAGTTCATTGTTGTTTTTTATTGTTTGCCATTAAATAGGTATTATAAAATTTGTAAAAAAAATGTGTTATTTTTTTTAAATATAAAAAATATTTATCTATAATAGATGAAGTGAGGGCGGGAAGTAGAGGTGTGTAATGTGACACTTTCCAACCTTCAATGACGTTAGTAATGACAACATTACATGTATGGTTGTAAATAAAAGATGATTTCCATCTTCTTGCACTTGAAAAATTCTGCTCGAAAAGGTACAAATTTAACCCAAAAGGAGTAGATCAACTGCCTTTAAGAATGCTGGTTCAATTTTCTTCGTCATATTTGTGTGGATTTTCAACACGGGTTGCCATCAAAGGCAAACAACGAAACCGTCATCAAGTCGAAAATGACTTGAGGAGCGCACTTTCATCAATACAGCCTCGCATAGATTTGTTACTTCGAAATATCTGGTTTTACATTAGTTAAATAGATTTGTTCGGAAAATTTCGATATTTCAATAGTATTAAAAAGTATAAACTAGCTAAATAGACCTACAGTGCGGAGATTAACAGGTTCAGTGCCCACGGTCAGTTTACTGGACACAAAAGTTTCATTAATGAAAGTCCTCGTCCAAATAACGTGACATCCCTTAAATATTAAATATACGCGTTTTTTATAAACAATAGTCTATGAAGATTGGTTTCTAAGTGGGCCATTGGCAAAGATTTGTCCTAAAAATGTTTTACTTATCTATTGTTGGTTTTTGTTTAACTGGACCCTAGTGTTTTCTATGAATATGACCAAAAATATATACCACCATCCAGTTAACTGAGCAGTGGTTAAAATATGTCAATGTGACAGATATCTATCAAATATATTCAAACTAAGACATTTCAAATAAAGTGTCACAAGAACCCTCTTGCTACTTAAAAAAATAAGGGGTAGTTATCATGTTGAGGAAATTGAAAGACAGTCCGGAGGGGCTGATCTTAAGATAAGTGTGCATTCATGTTCTCGCAATAGTAAAGCAGTCATTTTTCCGGTCACGTCATGGATGAATGAAGGCTGAGGCGTTCAACCATAGGACTTAACTAACTAGCGTATAACCATCAACGTAAATGAGTGAGTGAATAGAAAAGTAGTAGGACCTTCAAACAATAAGCAGCAGGTTGCAGTGCCACCACGCTATAAACAGATTTAAAATGATAATATGAGGGTCCGAAGGGCGTTAAAAAAAAACAAAAAATGCAAGCAGAATTTTTAAGTCATAAAATGTTGAAATGTCCAAGCATTTGTCACCTCAACAAGCTTCTATGGGGGCTTTTAATTCACGCACTGTATAACCCAAATTATTATAGCAGGGGGGTATGGAGATTTTCGTGAGTTATGAGGGGGGCGCAATCTGAAAAATGTTGAAAAGCTCTGGTGGTTGGTAACTCTTAAGAATGTATGGAAGAATCTTATGCCTCTTGGATTAAATTTTAAGAACAAAATATATTTACTGACCTTTCATCTGTGTCCCACTGAACGAGAGGTTGTTGATCTTTGGCACCGGGAATTGGAAGCCTTTGTATAGGAATTAAACCAGGAGCTGTAGTAGTATAATCTTGATGCAGCCGTTTGGCGTGTTCTATCCTAGCCTCAAGTTTTCTTTGAAGCTGGCGAGAGGCAGACGATGATAAACGCGGTATTGATTTGCTGCTACTTGCACTCGAACTGTCACTTCCCTAAAATAAGTATATAATATATATGAGGGGCAGTCAAATGAAGGGCGAACACCTGCTACAAAATGGCAATAAAATGTTATATTTAAAAGTAATTGCCAAAAGTGTTGATACATTTATCCCACTTGGGAGACTAGACGATCAATTCCAATCTTGGAGAAATTTAAAAAACATTCTATATTTGGAAAACTGACCTATAAATGTCGAGGTTCAGAATGTTTCGGAAATTTCTTTCGTATATTACCACATCAAGGTTAAAGATTGACAAATACAGGATGCTTCTAAATGTTTTTTTTTAAATATGGACATTGAATAACTTAAATTGTTCTAACCATAGAGAATCTATTCTAAAACAGGTTATCACTGACTTAAGTAGGGAAAACGAAAATGTTACCGATATATTATGCTATTGACTGTCAGATTTAAAATCTACATCTGTGCCAAACAAACACAGATTTAAAATCCTTAGTTAAGAATGGACCGACTTTATTACACTCTACTAGGGTTTTTACATTAAAGTGGCGTTCCACCTGGTAAATATTTCAGTCATGAGTACTGAATTTATTAAACAATATTGTCTGATTTTGAGTATTTGCATGTTAAGGCTCTATAGACGATCGACCATAATAGGCCATCATCGATCCATCATTGCGCTGTCATCTACACGATCGCACGTGTTCATTTACTCTTTGTCCATTTTTCAAAATAAAACTTGAAGAGGAGTTTTTTGCATCTACTGCTATTCATGGATGCTGCCTCAAAACTTACCTCATAAGGCATAAAAAAAATTTGACTGACTTGATGTAATTATCAGAGATTAAGGACATACAAATTGGAAACGCAACGACCGCAGCAACGATGGCGTCATCTAGCGTCTCAGATGTTAACTACATGTATACGTCGTTTGTAGAGAGACCAGTGTTGCCAAATATTTTTTTTTTTTTTGAGAGATCGTTCAAGAAGAGTAGAAAAATGGTATTTCGCCAAAAAAAAATGTACAATGGATTTATACATAGCATAATATAACTTAAATGAAATGAAATAATAAAAAAAAAACTTTGGCATGATAATTTATTTATCTATTTATAAAGATGTTTACAACGAAAAAAAAAAAACTAAAGAAAATACATATAACTTTAAATAAACACATTTAAAGTAATCAATGACTGTCACTTGAAAGTGATTACAATTTTGCATGCAAGCTTTTCTTATGCCGTGATAGTCGGTGTACAAAATCACCATGGTCAAAATCACGATAAGTCAGAACGAAAATAACTGTCTTTAAAAATTAAGAACGGCCTATGATTCTTATCAAGTAGTTTTTGATTTTTATTGTTTTATGTTCAGAAGTTGTTGCAGATATTTAAATAAATCTACTAAAAAATGCTCGAAGATTTTTACGTACGATCTCACTGATGCAATCGTACATCGTACAGAGTGTTAAAAAAATCGTATAAATACTATTTAAATCGTACGGTTGGCAACACCGAAACAGACAGTAGACGTGGACAGCAGAGAATTGGACTTCCGATTCTGACACCGTTGTGTCAACATTGGAATGGCGGCACCACATACTTTGATTTTCTTTTACTATACGGAGAATGGTCGCACTGCGCAGCTTTCTGAATGCCTTTTAAAAGGAGATAGAAAACTCCGCCATTTTGAACCCTTATTACGTGTTGCCTACATCTTGGCGCAATATTTGTAATAGGTGCGTTTTAATCATCCGCTTCTGCTTCGGAATTGTCGGTTTTCTTGTTTTAATCTGACAGATTAAAACGACTAAACCGACAATTCTGGAAGCAGAAGCGGATGATTAAAACGCACCTGATATTTTGCTTGCTGCTGTCAGTGTCAGTGATTATTATTTTTGAAGTCACAGTTTATTGCTAAAGAATCAGTTAGCTCACTCGGACCAGTTGAAAGTTCCAAAATAACATCCACTCCAGGGATACAAATTCAGGATACGCAGAAGACTGCTGTTTTATTATAGGCGGTTGTCATATATTGTATTATCCGAGTTGCACAGTGTATAAACTGAAACATTGAGATCCAAAGTGCCGACGCAGAGTGAGCGATCTGATTCTTCAGCTGTAAACTGTGTCACAGGGTTCAAAATGGCCGCGCCCTATGTTGGGCGTGTCGGACCTCTCTCTTGCCTCGTATAGTAATCAAAGTATGTGGGCGGCAAATATTTGTCATGAAGGTTTTTAAATTTCCCGCTGCGTTGTTTGATATCGATGAAAGCGCCACATAGTGGGTCAGATGTTAACTGCGATAAAGCTGGTCGTTGTTAAGCATTGGCTTCTTATGGGCGTTTCCTATCTTTATCTCCCTTATCTCTGGTAATTACCATTTAAAAATTGTTAGTTTTAAATATCAAACCGGGGACATTTGTCCACTAGAAATTGTCAAATTTTAGAAGAAGGGCCAACATTTACGTCACAAGGTAAAAGAACAAAAACCATCGGATTTTCTGCGAGAATAGCCGCTTAGTCTAAAACGATGTCTCAAGACAAAATATTTTGGGGCTTTCTGTCCGTAAAACAGATTTAAAAAGAGACATAATTTTACGTCATAAGGTATAAAAACTATTTTTTTACCAGATTGTTCCTCACTAAATGTACCACCCAGATACTATTCGTAAGACAAAATATTTGGGAGCCTAATTGCTTTAAAACAAGAGTATTTAAAAAGAGCCAATATATACGTCTTAAGGTATAAATTATAAGTCAGAATAATAGGTACCTAGGTACATTAGTTCTAAGACGGCAAAAACATATGTTGTGGCTCTTCTGCGCTTTTTTACTTATAATTGTGTTTAATTGGAGATAAATTAAATATTGATAAGTAAAATTTTGAAAATTTTATTAATTTGTGACAGTATTTAACTATCCTATGATAAAATTATGACTTTTTGGAAACCCTTCGAAATTCAAACAATTCTCAGTTTTTCGAAAGCCTCTATTTCATTATTTCAACTTTCGATTTTTTTTTCAGTGACTTTTACCACTAATAACGAATTGAAATGACTATACTTTGTATACAAAACTTTTTTGCAGTCCAACCTTTTCTTCTTTACGAGCCGGCTCGAGTAACCTTTAGAGGATTTAAATGTCATGTTTATACGTGCAAATCCGATTAACGTCAACGGAATTAGGTTGCGGATTTACGTGTTTCAGATTCTAAAGCCACTCACTTTATTACGTTCCTAATGTCCGATGATGATCAAAGATTAGAGCTTGAAGGTCGGGCGGGAAGCGAGAGTTGTCTGAGATTAAACAGAAACTGAGTGTAACCTTAATTAAGTTCTCAAGGATGATATTTAAAATATAATACGGTATTGGGATCTGAAATTAAGATCTCAGCGCCGCGCTGTCTGTACTTGATATTGGAAATACTCAGAAACACAGATGTATAAATTTGTTTATCGCCATGTATTACCATAGCGATTTATGGAAGTAAACAGAACACTATCTTACTGCAAAAATCAAATATTTTATCTGTCGCTAATATTTATCAACATAGCCATGACCATTTGACAGAAATAGTCTATCCAAATCTTATTAAATTGGTTTTCCTGGAAGTTACAAGAATCGTTAAGAAGTATGTAGAAGAATAAGTTTTAACAAAGACGCTTTTAAGAGCTGTTAAATGTGTGTCACATGAGTAAGCCACTAAATACTAAATACATAATAGATGAACGAACATGGGCATCAAGTACCTAATTCAACTGCTTTCATATCATTGTCAGTAGTCAGTATATGGTTTAACCCGATTTTGTTAGTCTAAGAAATCTGTAAACACCTGCAAACACCTACAGTTTTATTTATATCAGGCTGAGTGTTTTCTCCTTAACAAAGATGTTGTGTATTAACAATATTTATGTAAAAGAATATAAAATTAAGAAACGTACGTCTATATACTAGATACCACTACAGGAGATAAAACATTTGGAAGTTAAAATTGTTAATAGAACATTTCAGAAAGGCTAATTCTCTTTACTAAATAACAGTTAAACCATTTAAACATGTGATATGTTAATTAGGCATTCCAAAGACCTGTCAAAATGCTGACAAGTAGGAACAGAATATTTAGATGTGGCAACCCTGTGGTCCTGTTGTCATTGACAAGATACATAAATAATTATATAGATAGCTCAAATCGGGTGGCCATATTGCCCCGCAAGTGATCATTAATCAGTTTAGTAAAAATGTGTTTATTAACCAATTTTCAGCCTTTGAGTACAGTAAAAAAAATAATTACCTACATTTTTACTTCTAGGCATAAGCTTATGTTTATTTTGAAAAACATGGATGAATAATCTATATACCTATATATGTCATTGGCCCTGTCAAATCACCAGGCCTACAGGGTTGCCATAATTTTGCCATATTGTCAAAACCCACTGTTAGCCATTTTATTTGGAATGCCTAATAATCCAAATAAAATTGAGTTTTTCGACATCATCTTACAATACCGGCATGGTTTACTATATTATATCAAAAGATTTTCGAATATATTAGTTAATAGCCATAAAGGGACCATTTGTTGGTCATATAATTTTTTTCTGTGAAAATACAGGCGAACAAAGCACGGTGTACTTAATACTGTCTCAATATTTTTCTACCCTATCCAATATTCTGGTTTCCCCAATATTACATAATGCTCATACCATATCCATACCATATCCATACTGTGACGTTAGTTTATTTTAAACAACAGTTTATTTGTAGACGAAAATAAATCAAAACTCAAATGTGGATAGACTAGTCTAAGATCCGAAGTAAGGTCGACCTTCACCCATCTGTTTAATGGATGAAAGTTTCTTTTTATTACATAAAATATATTTATAAATATACCGCAAATGGATTGCCTAAGAAAATATGGTCCAGAATATTTTTTTTCTTAAAGTAAAAAAACGACACCCTGTAAAGTATTCCCCAGATGCTTCAACTATGCCCAAACTTTAGTCAGCTCACCACAGGATGGATTAAAGCTTAAGTTTAAAATTTGGTGTTTTTCTCTTTATCCGTTTTTGAGTTGTCTTCAAAATTCGAAATTTGCACTTTTCCTCAAATATCTCGAATTAGGTTCATTTTAGGAAAATCATGTATAGAAACAAAATAATAGATAATGACATCATAAACAACTTTTATCATGATTTTTATACTTTACTTATCTGTACACAAAAAGGAAAGTAAAAAATGGCCGTGACCGTATTTTCTTATGCAACCCATTTGCGGTATATTTAAAAACATATTTTATTTAATAAAAAATAAGTTTTATCCATTAAACAGATGGGTGAAGGTCGATCCTACTTACGGATTCTGGACTAGACGTAAATGAAATAAAATGAATTTAGCTCAAAGCCAATATCACACGAAATACAAAGACCGTATCCCTCTCAAAAAACAACTACTCCTACCGCAACAGGCATTGAATTCCATTGTATTTCGTGTGATATTGGCTTTGAGCTAAATTCATTTTATTTCATTTACGTCTATCCACATTTGAGTTTTGATTTATTTTAGTCTACAAATTGCCGCCTGGTGCTTTTTGGTTCCACCTAGTTTTCTAACTGGGTACCACAGCGCATTTTGATTTTGCTTACTAAGAACAAATGGCTACACCATTTCACTACTTGAATTCTTATTCTCCTCATAACCAACTTTATGGTATACTGGTGAAATGTGTAGCATTAGTTAATTCCATTAGAGACTGGAATTGAAAACCTATCTATTTCATGCTGAGGAGTCCTAATAAGGACGAAACCGGTCCAAGAATGATGTTCTCCTTGGTGAGCAAAATCGAAGTAGAGAGTGTTGAAAATTAATTTCTATCTCTGCTGTCTTTTCTTCGGATGTAATTCAATGCCTGTTGCGGTATTAGCCAAAGGAGTAGTTGTTTTTTGAAGGGGAGACGGTCGTTGTATTTCGTGTGATATTGGCTTTGAGCTAAATTCATTTTATTTCAACAGTTTATTTGTTAATAATTTATTCTTAAAACAATACTATTCGAATGTCTTTGAATTTTTCACTATTTATCTTCACAACTGTCTATATATGACTGACTGACTGACTTCGTGTTCCTCCCCCAATATTTATGTACACATTGAAAACTAGAAACATTATCTCGTTATATCTGGAATATACTCGAAAGCGCCTTCTCCATAGTCGTGACATATGTTTGGTCTTAAAAGGTTTAATTATGTACGATAATCGGACAAGTTGAGCCTCAAAGGTCAAATAAGACAGAGAGAGACTTAGAGGATAGAGCATGACTGAATAATGAAATGGCTCGCATTAAAATACCATGACCTAGCAAATAGTAATCATAGTATAGTTATCGTTAAATATGAAGTATGTCATTCAGACAGCAGTCCAATTTTCACAGTTCCAAATAACTAAATTATATCTTATTCCTATTGAGGGTTCAGAAAAAACAACCCATTCTTCTTCATTTTCTTAAATTTATTACCTTGATTTTAATTTCTTTATTTTATTTTCTTAAATTTATTTTTTTAAATTTATTTTCCTAAATTTATTTTCCTAAATTTATTTTCCTAAATTTATTTTCCTAAATTTATTTTCCTAAATTTATTTTCCTAAATTTATTATCTTAAATTTATATTCTTAAATTTATTTTCTTAAATTTATTTTCTTAAATCTATTTTCTTAAATTTATTTTCTTAAATTTATTTTCTTAAATTTAAATTTATTTTCTTAAATTTAAATTTATTTTCTTAAATTTAAATTTATTTTCTTAAATTTAAATTTATTTTCTTAAATTTATTTTCCTAAATTTATTTTCATTAAATTTATTTTCTTAAATTTATTTTCTTTAATTTATTTTCTTAAATTTATTTTCGTAAATTTATTTTCCTAAATTTATTTTCCTAAATTTATTTTCCTAAATTTATTTTCCTAAATTTATTTTCCCAAATTTATTTTCCTAAATTTATTTTCCTAAATTTATTTTCCTAAATTTATTTTCCTAAATTTATTTTCCTAAATTTATTTTCCTAAATTTATTTTATATTTTCCTAAATATATTTCCTTAAATTTATTTTCTTAAATTTTTTTGTTAAATTTATTTTCTTAAATTTAGTTTCTTAAATTTATTTTCTTAAATTTATTTTTTTAAATTTGTTTTCTTAAATTTATTTTTTAAATTTATTTTTTAAATTTATTTCTTAAATTTATTTCTTAAATTTATTTCTTAAATTTATTTTCCTAAATTTATTTTCTTAAATTTGTTTTCTTAAATTTATTTTCTTAAATTTATTTTCTTAAATTTATTTTCTTAAATTTATTTTCTTAAATTTATTTTCTTAAATTTATTTCTTGAATTTATTTTCTTAAATTTGTTTTCTTAAATTTATTTTCTTAAATTTATTTCTTAAATATATTTTCCCATATTTATTTTTCTTATATTTTCTTAAATATATTTTCTTAAATTTATTTTCTTAAATTTATTTTCTTAAATTTATTTTCTTAAATTTGTTTTCTTAAATTTATTTTCTTAAATTTATTTTCTTAAATTTGTTTTCTTAAATTTATTTTCCTAAATTTATTTTCTTAAATTTATTTTCTTAAATTTATTTTCTTAAATTTATTTTCTTAAATTTATATTCTTAAATTTATTTTCTTAAATTTATTTTCTTAAATTTATTTTCTTAAATTTATTTTCTTAAATTTATTTTCTTAAATTTATTTTCTTAAATTTATTTTCTTAAATTTATTTTCTTAAATTTATTTTCTTAAATTTATTTTCTTAAATTTATTTTCTTAAATTTATTTTCTTAAATTTATTTTCTTAAATTTATTTTCTTAAATTTATTTTCTTAAATTTATTTTCTTAAATTTATTTTCTTAAATTTATTTTCTTAAATTTATTTTCTTAAATTTATTTTCTTAAATTTATTTTCTTAAATTTATTTTCTTAAATTTATTTTCTTAAATTTATTTTCTTAAATTTATTTTCTTAAATTTATTTTCTTAAATTTATTTTCTTAAATTTATTTTCTTAAATTTATTTTCTTAAATTTATTTTCTTAAATTTATTTTCTTAAATTTATTTTCTTAAATTTATTTTCTTAAATTTATTTTCTTAAATTTATTTTCTTAAATTTATTTTCTTAAATTTATTTTCTTAAATTTATTTTCTTAAATTTATTTTCATAAATTTATTTTCTTAAATTTATTTTCTTAAATTTATTTTCTTAAATTTATTTTCTTAATTTTATTTTCTTAAATTTATTTTCTTAAATTTATTTTTTAATTTATATTGTTATTTTTATTTTCTTAAAAATGCAAGTACGAACCTGCACATTCCTAGTAGATAGGTCTACAAGTATACAAATATAAACATTTTTTTTTAATTTGGTGATTATCCAGTTAATAACTATTTAATAAGTAGGTTTAATATTTTTCATAATTTAATATTAAAAACCCATATTCCATTTTTAGCCAAAAATGCAATATGGGTAAGAAAAAGAATCTTTTGAACTAACATTTTTGATTAACTTGTTAAAAATAGAAGAAAGCACACCACAATTTGATACATGATACAAAAAAAAACAGAGGTATGAGATACTTAGCCGACGAAAACTCGTCGAGTTCGCGCATGACGTATTGTGATGCGGAATATGGTTATCTGATTGGCCATGAGCCGATTAAAATTTATTTTCGCGCTTTGTTTTCATCAGCTGATACGTCAAATTCGTAAAAGCGACGCATTCCACCACATTACGTCACCGTGACGTATAGCATCAATCTGCGTAGTATCAAGAATTTGATATATCAAGTTAAAGGATTTACTCTGATTACCTAATAACCAAATAGTCTGGAAAACTGTTTAGAATACCTTAGGTATCTAAGAAGTCAACAGCCCACGAAGATAAACACGCCGATGAAACTAGCCCGAAGAGTCTCAAATATGATCATAAGGAACCAAACAAATGTGTGGGGTTTCTAAAGCACTTTACAAAGCATTTCTCAAACTGATACTTTCCGATATCGACAAGGAATAATAATATTTGACACGTGCAATACGCCCTTATCTTATTTTGTGTATATTTATTCCTTAAATTTAACACTAAAATTAGCATTTTCATTAAACAATTTTATAATGTGAATGTTTTTAAAACTGACATTTACAGTGTAACACTTTCCACAAAAATACAATATAATATAAATAAAACATCTTTTCTTGCGAAAATTAGACTGTTTCGGTAACATAGAAAATAAAAATTTACGTACATTTGGTTTTCCGGAATCTGCATTATGATCTCCGCTATCAATGCCGCTGTCTTCCATCACATCAATCATGGATCTTCAAAGTAAACATTCACAGAAATATATTAACGATTAAATCACATCTTATCACTGGATGTTGGAATATTATTTATATCACCCGAATACTTTTTGATTTGCTAAAATCCTTCCATATGATGCGCTGCATTTGTTTGTGCTCTTGGCCCAGGACTCCAACTAGCTGGAAACTGGAAACGGGAAACTCAAAAAACGGATATAACTCGCGATGACGTTACGTAGGCGTAGCGTGGAAAATCAATACGGTTGTGAAATTAGCTACTTGTTGTGTTGGAGAGAAAAGGTTCGCTACTCGGCTAGTAGGTTATTTTCAGTCATCAGGTTACCCGGGAAATTTAGGAATTATTTTTTAATGGCAATCGTTGAAGTTTTATGACATTTAAGACGCGAGTTCAGAATATGAGTTCCAGAAATGCTAATTAGAGCCACGGTTACCAACCGAGAGTTAGAGCAGGATGTGTACAGAGTAGCGAAATAGTTTGAGAACAAGGTATTTTTAACCGACTTCAAAAAAGGAGGAGGTTCTCAATTCGTCGGTATATTTTTGTATGTATGTTCAGCGATAATTCTTTAACACAGTGTCCGATTTCAATGATTCTTTTTTGTTAAAAAGGGGGTACTTCAGGGGTGGTCCCATATAAATTTGGTCAAAATCTAATAATTGCGTCCATGAGAAAATCATCAAAGTTTTCATTTTTGTATGTATGTTTACTTTAGCGATAATTCTTTACCACCTTATCCGATTTCTATGATTTTTTTTGGTTAGTAAGGGGTACCTCAGGGGTAGTCTCATATAAATCAAGTTAAGATGTGGTGCAGTTGCGACGATTTTGAAGTCTGTTTTTTTTAAATTACTTTTAATACTTGTTAGTCTATTATTTTTTTAACGAATGAATGTATTTTTTTCATGACCTAGGTATACAACTAATATGCCAGTCTCAGTTTATGATTTGACATTTATTTTATTAATGTGTGTTCTTTGTAGGCTTTCCCGCAACTTCAGGAACAGCACTGTTAATTAGAACCCAACAATGAATGGTCGGAGTGAGAAATCATATCTACGCATCAGAATTATTTTTAACCGACTTCAAAAATGGAGAAGGTTCCCAATTCGTCTGAATATTTTTTTTATGTTCAGCGTATGAAGACTAGAGGGTTCAGCGATAATCCTTTACCACGTTGTCCGATTTCTATTATTTTTTTTTTTTTTGTTAAAAAGGAAGTACTTCAGTAGTGTTCCATATATATTTGGTAAAGATCTGATGACAAAAACTATGATAAAATCAGCAAACTCAATTTGTAGTGACATCTGCATGATTTTTGATTCAGTTTTTAAAAAAAAAAAAAAATTAATTCGAACCGCGAAACTTTGGATTCGCAAGTCCAGACTCTAACCACTGAGCCACCCACCCCCTAATGAATATGTATTATAAAATTGTAGGGTATTAAATGAGACTATATTTTGCCTTTTAAAAGAACATGTCAAATTTATGTGATGTCAGCATTTAGTGTATTGCCGCCATCTTCAGTATTTTTAAATGACAACACAGGTCGAGGGATATATCAAAGTAAAGCTTATTTTTTCCTCTTTTCAACAATACAAAATACATTGCAGTTATATTTTTATTTTTCACTATTGTGTATACAATAAAGTGTCAAAATTGAATTTAGTCCTAATTATATTGGATATCTACATTGCTTAAAAGTAAATTAAGAATAATGGCAAACTTATCAGAAAGATTACGAACGTTGTTTGTCCATGTCCACCGCGACTTTTTGTGAGACTCCGTTTGTTTTAGAGTATGTCGTCTAGCTTGCTCTTTTATATTAGACTTTAGTAGTTTGGCTTTTCTTCGCCCAATGTTAGAAACCTCATTTCAGCCAGGTCTTCACATTGGCACAGGACGTGAAATAATGTGTCCTCTTCTTCTTCACAGAACCTGCACAAAGTTGCTTCTACTGTTGGATTGATGACACTCATGTGCCTTTTGAGGCGACAGTGTCCAGTAAGAAGGCCTACTGTTATCCTAACGATTTGACGCTTTTGATCCAGTAGGTCTTTCGTGAACTTGGCCGATGGTTCCTTGATGAACTGTTTGACCTGTTTCAGTCTTGGATAGTTGTTCCACCATTACTAAGACTCTTTTTGCATCTATTGTTTAATGGATGCCTTGCACAATGCCTTAGCAACTCCACAGAAGGGTTGGGGCCTGTCATGGCCTTATCTAAGCCTACTCGGGCTAATGCGTCGGCCTTTTCGTTGCCCTGATAGCCCTCATGGCCTAGCACCCAGGATAGGGTTACCTTGTTTTGACTACTTAGCTCAGCCAGGTCTTCTAGACAGCCTTTCACCAGTCGTGATTTGATTTCTGATGAGAGAATTGCCTTTAGAGCTGCTTGGCTATCAGAGTATATGGCAATAGTTTTGCCTAATACTTGCTGATTTAATATTTCTCTTGCACAGTGTTGTATGGCTATTAGTTCAGCCTGGAACACTGTTGCATATTTTCCATAGATTCCAGCACCGGCTCCTACCTTGGTTTTTGAACCGTCTGTGTACCAGACGAGTTCAGCCTGTACGGGAGGTCCCTGTTTCCAGGATTCTCGGGCTGGTATTTCAATTTGAAAATTTCTTTCAAATTTGTATGTAGCTATGGCTCTATCAGTAGGCATAGCTAGATTATTATCCCTTTTTACTTGCTAATATAGCTTTGTGTGGTCGACGCTATGTAGTTGGCTTATTGGGTTTTGTCCCTGCATTAGCCTGTGAATAGCTGACCTGGTTTCTCCTTGTATGAAGATTTGCAGTGGCGTGATATTTAATAATACCTCCATTGCTGCAGTCGGCGTAGTGCACATGGCCCCAGTAGCAGCTGAATGCCAGTGAGTTGGCCTATTGCACTTGCCTGCGCAGTTTTGGTTACCCACACCACTGCGCTATAGGTCTTATTACCCTTGTGTATAATCATATGATCATTTTGGGGTTTAGACCCCAGTTTTTCCCACATATTCTTCTATAGCTTACGAGAGCTATTGTAGCTTTGTATGTGAGTTTTTTGAGATGTTGATTCCACGTCAGCCTTTGGTCAAATATGACTCCTAGGTATTTGGCTTCTGTAACGAATGGGATAACTATGTTGTTTAGTACTAGTGGTCTTAGTCCTGTAAGTACCCGTTTTTTTTGTGAATGGTACAACTGTTGTTTTTTGTGCGTTAAGGACAATTGTTCCTTTTTGCACCAGTTGTTCACTATGTTTAGAGCTGTTTGAGATCGCTACGAGACTGTGACTGCAAATCGCCCCTGACGATAATTGCTAGGTCGTCTGCGTCTCCTAGGCCTCCAATAGACGAACGCAGATAAAATACTAATGTTGATTGGATATAGTGATAGAAAACGTACCTATAAGGAAGTAAGTCACATGTTCAACGATTAAAATCCTCAAATTTATTTCCAAATGTCAATGTCTATTTTCAACAGGATGGCTGATCTGCACACTATCACAGAATCGTTGGACAATATTTGGATACCATTTTTCCCCACAGATGGATTGGCCCAAAAGGTATACTTCAGTAGCCGGCAAAATCTTCCGACTTGACTCCACTTGATTGTTTTTGTGTGGTGGGGTTATCTAGAGAACAGCGTCGATGTAAACAGGCCAACTAATATAAATGAGTTAAAGGATTTAATGTAGTTGACAACGTCGCCATGAGGGGCTTCTCTTATATCGGCCGGTGTTAACCGATACTCGCCGAACACAAATCTTCTAATAAATGAGAACGTCAAGCAATCGTAAAGGATATGCCCGATGGTCTCATCTTCTTGTTCGCACCCTCTGCAGAGTGCAAATTCTGACAGTCCCATGATATGGATATGCTTCCGTACTTGGCAATGACCAGTCAAAATACCTGTGATCAGGCAGAGATTATGTCTAGTCATAGTGAAGTATTTGTTTGCTGCAGTGTTATCAGGATAACTTAAAAGCTTCCTGGCAACTTTGCAGTTTCTTGTTTTATCCCATCTTTCCTTGAATTTCACAAAGGAATGTTCTTTAATTAGGTCTGTCACTACCAATTTTATCAGGCCAATAGAAGGGCCATGTCCAAAAGGTATTTGGTTGGCTGCTTTCTTGGCTAGTGAATCAGCAAGACGATTACCTTTTGAAGTGGCGTGACCTTTGATACATCTCAAGGTGACCACATTGTTGATTGATTATTCGGCCAAAACTTCGTAACATTCTAGCACTAACCCTGAGTAAATTTGAGGTCTGTTAAGGGTGAGTAGTGCTTGTCTGCTATCTGTATAGATGAGCATGTTTCTTCCAGTGATATTGTTTCTGATGATTTCTTTTGCTACTATGAGAATCCCCGTTAGCTCTGTTTGAACTACACTGACACTATTGCTCATAGCCCATTTTATGTTTAAGTTTAAGAATCTGGAGTATATTCCACATCCTGAGCCTTGTTTTGTTTTAGAACCGTCTGTGTAGACATGAATCGTACCTGCCACTTCCGGCACTTCTATTTGTTATGTTATAACTTTATATGGTTTATGGAAGATATATCTCGGTGAGATGGAGTCCATGTTCGCTGAAGCAATGTTAGCGTATCTAGCGCCTCCTGCCAAAAGCGACGTCTCGCCTCACCAGATCCTACATCAGGTTCTATTCCAACCACACGGAGGCATGTCATTGTCATCAGAGCTACTTTCTTGATGTAAATATTAAGAGAAGTGAGACTAAAAATGACTTCCATGGCTCTGGTCGGTGTGGTTTTCATGGCTTCTGTTATATTGAGACATGCTGTTCTTTGAAATTGACCTAGTTTGCGGATAGCTGTCAGTTTTTGGATTTTCGGTACCCAGGCAACTTCACCGTATGTTAACATAAGTTTTAGGATAGCCGTGTGAATCCATGCGACGACTAAACCCCAGGTGCGCCCCACGGTTCAGCAGCATTCTTCATATGCAATGTATGTTCTTTTGACTCTATTTTCTTAGTGCGAGTTCCATGTTAACTTGCTGTCAAAGGTGGGACCTAGGTACTTCACGTCTGTTACAAAGTTTAGTTTTGTGTTTAGGAGTTCTGGAGGTTTTAATTCCATTTTCATCCTTTTCCTTGCGAAAAGGGCCATTTCTGTCTTCTTAGGATTGGTAGACAGTGAATGGTCCTTGCAATCCTTGCACCACTGTTCTTGTTGTTTTTAGTGGCAGATTTCTAAATAGGCTAGCTAGGCTATAGCCTACAACAGCAAATTTTTGAAGGCGATTTTTTTTTTCGCGGCTAATAAAAACGGATTATCAACTTCGCCAATTACTTATCTTTCTATTCGATTTTCCCTTTATTAATTAATTAGCAAAGAATATTAAATATTTATTAAATTAAGATTATTTTTAAGAGTAGAACTTAAAATTAAGTGAAAATATAGGGTGTACCATTAAAAAAACTTTATATTAGTATTCCTTGTTTGGGACACCCTGTATATATGAAAGTAAATTTAATTTGTTGAGTTGTATTTTTGTGAAAGGGAATTTTTAATATCATTTGTAGTTTACCCACCAGGTTTCGTCCCGTTCAGCGTGGCGCACCTTGTATGTATATTTTTCTTGTGCCTTATTTATTGTTCCCCATTTATTTTAATTTTTACGCTTTGAACTTGCTTCATACCTAAAAACATTAATAAAGTACTAATACCATAAATAAGTTTATTGTTTTATTTCCAACATGTTACGCCTCTGGGCAAATTACATTGCTCTCAGAATGGAAGAGGAAGATTTCCTGCGTCGTTACGAATCCTCTCTTTATACCTAGTCTAAGGGATGGACGATATTTTGTCACAGTGATTTTGTCACTGATATAATAATTACAGTAGTAATTCATGACATTAAAGTCGTGATGAGACAAAATGATATGCTGGAAACCGAAAAAAAAAATCGAGTCAAATTAAAAAGGGAATGTATGCCATTATTCTCTTATGAAAATAGATGATGCAATTCGAGAACAAGTAATAGAAATTAAAAATTTAAAAAAACCGACTTCAAAAACGTGCAGATGCCATCACCACATCTTAACCAAATTATTATGGGACCACCCCTGAGGTACCCCCTTACTAACAAAAAAAAGAATCATATAATTCTGACAAGGTGGTAAAGCATTATCGCTAAACATACATAAAAATGAAGAGTTTGAAGATTTTCTCATGGACTCAATTATCAGATTTTGGCCAAATTTATATGGGACCATCCCTGAAGTACCCCCTTTCTAACAAAAAAAGAATCATTAAAATCGGACACCGTGTTAAACAATTATCGCTGAACATACATAAAAAAAAATTAAAAAAAATAAAAAAAAAATAAAAAATATATTGCGACGAATTGAGAACCTCCTCCTTTTTGGAAGTCGGTTAAAAATGAAAATCGTTTCGCAAATTACTATCAAGACTAGTCTTCATACAAGTTACAAATGTCACTTGTTATTTCAAACTGTTTCCAATCGCTCAAAGTTGGAAGAATATATAGTGTGTGCGATAAAGTTGGATCCATATGGGATTTTTTTGACATAACAATTGAAAAAATTGTCGTAAGACAATCAAATACAACAATTTTCAAAAATATTTGATTGGAAGTACCTACCTACAAAAGAATGATAATAAATCATTTTTTAACCAAACACAATTTTATAAATAATCAAGTCAAAATTAGAAAAAATCTTGTATGTAACACGTTACAAAATGCTTTTTTGTGTGACTCGTTCATTTTGCGGGACCTCCCAAATATTTACTCGTTACACAAAATAAGGTATTTCGTAACTGGTTACATAAATAGCTATTACGATACGATTACGATTTTTCAATAACTTTCAAGTATCCAAAATATTTATACAGGGTGTCACTATATATTCGACCGACAACACTCTAGTCCAGAGGGTTCTCGGTAATTGATGATTTCTGGCTTAGTTACCTAGATACAGGGTGTTGAAAGTTTGAAATTAAAATTCAAGATTCACATAAATCAAAATTTGGTGACCAATGTGCTTTTTGAGAAAGTAATATTTTGACGTATAATAACTCTTGAAAAATAATCTTTCATGGAGCTAAAATTAACTTTTGAAAAATTCTAAACTAGTAGACACGTAACAAATTTTCAACAGTTCGTGTATTTAAGACCTTGGTATATCAAATTTGAAAAAAATTATTTATGACGTTTTTGATTTATGACAAACTTTGAATTTAGATTTAAGACTTAACGCCCTGCATCTCGGTTCTTGTACCTATATCAAAAAGCGTTGTCGGTCGAATATAGTGACACCCTGTAGATATCTGAGTTTAAATGTTTAAATTTTAGAAGTAATTCTAGTTCATTGGAAAATAATAACTAAATTTAATTAACAACTAACAAAATGATAAAAATAAAACGTAGTACCAGATATCTTTAAAGAGTTTTTTCCCATTTGCACACATCTTATAGTTTTGTTTGAAATGAATTTTTCTGACCTCTTGCTTTATCAACAGCTTTATCGATATGTTGGTTGCTAGACAACACCGCCACAGTTGTCACTGAGTTTTATATGAAAGATAACCAAACAAAATAACGAACTAATTTCATACAATCGAGAATTTAATTCATTATAAATATGGCCCCTACGGTGAATCCCAAGACGGCCCCTTCCCAATTAAAAACAGTAAATATTAAACATCTTATTGATAATCACTTCTAATTTATCAAGTTTTGTGGGTTATTCTAATTCACAACGCTTTATATTCTTTAATACTATTTTATATATTTTTTTTTATTTTAGAAAAAAGCCGATAAAGGAAAGACCGATGATGCGGATGCTGACGTGGAGCAATATACTAGAACGAAGACTCTTCAAAAGCCAAAAGATCAAGTGGAGTTGACAGACTCAGTGAGTTATACTATAATTCGTAAAGACTATTCTTATCAGTATATAAAACGTATTGGCGAATAAAATGTACTTAATTTTTTTATCTCATATTCTAGCAATTAAAAGAAATTATTGCAAAAACATTAACCAGTATTAACCCTCAAATCCCTGAGAGCGAAGTAGAATGGAGCTATGCCCAAATGGAGTTTGTACCAGCTCCTACGATCGGCCATATGGTTATGGTGTTCCGACAAGAAGGCGGCCTTCTAAAGAAAGATTCCGAAGAAGCTAGACAACAAATGATAGAAATGGGCATGGATCGTAAGCTATAATTTATGAATATTGAAAGGCTAAACTTTGGTACCTTTGAGCTTGCATTTTACCTAGTATTATGATTGAATTATTATCTCAATGTAGTTCTAATCCACATACATCTTACTACTCTTAAGATATTTAGCATCAAACATACCTAGCAAGACACTTGGTCTTCCTTTTGTTTTGTTATTAACTTAGCACCTTTAAAATTAGATACTATATCAACAATAGTTTAAAAAAAAAATCAGTTAATAATATTTCTATCTATACATTTTTAAATGACAGCACTCTGCATTCAAGTCTTTGACCCACTATCTTTATTTCATAACTCTGAAGCTTTACTACTTGTTACTATCTTCACTGTGATTCTGAATAAAAAAAAAACGATTGATCCTTTTTTGTTTTAGCGGCTGAACTAGATATGGAATCTGTGGAAGAAGAGCAAATAGAGGAAGAAGAAATGATCGAAGAGGAAGAAATGAAGGGGGAAGAAGTTGAAGGCGAAGGTGACGTTGACGAAGAGAAAGCCGAAGGAGAAGAAGACGAAAAACCGCCCGAGGCTGAGAAAGAGGAAGAAGCTGAAGAAGACGTAGAAGGGGAAGAGGTTGTCGTGAAGAAACCTGAAAAGAAGAAAGGCGGTCGACCCAGGAAGCTGACCAATCTGTTTAATTTCTGTGAGAGGGCTGCTTTAACTACTACCAATCCATCAAGGGTAATATATATAAAAGATATGGGTCAATTCTCTTTAGGGTATTAAAGTTAATAGATTCACAGTTAAAGTAGATAAAGTTAGATGAACAATTTTTAAATCAGAAGTGGAGCAGTACTTGCTAACTTTGCTAATAATTCTTTTTAAATTGTTCGTTTTTACGTTTTTGTTATAGTCTCAAGAAACACAGACTATACCACCACCAATGGCCACCTTTTCAGCAGTCGTAACTACGTCATTTGTCTATGATAGTTACATGAAGGATTGGTGTATACAGGAGGCAGAGAGGGAGCGTGAAAAAAGAGAAAAAATGGGCTTACCTCCGAAACAGGTTATTAAAAAAACGCCACAACAATTGCATGAAGAATTGCAAAGTAGAATTTTCAAATCTGCAAGAATCCTGGAACGTATGATCAATCAGAATACTTATGTTGAAATTGCTAAAGGTAATTTTTTTAGATCATCCAACGAATTTTACAAATGATAACTTTTTATTTTGGATATTTTATTCAAACTAGTTTATTGGCCTAATTATAATTCAAGGATAATTACCTAATTGAGCATTTTAGACATAAGAGGATTAGGGGTATAAATACCAACGAGTGAGTTTAATTAGACCAATTGCAAATATAAACAATAATTTGTTTTCGAAATTTATCATAATTTGCATACAATTCTAGTGAAGTAATTTAAAATTAATTTCTTAATTGCACTGTTCTACCAGTATTATAATCCGGTCTAATATAATACTTTTTAAAATAAAGATATCTTAAGAATATATTCTGTAACTTCTCCAGTTTTTGTAAAGCAGTTGAAACAACATCTACTTTGTATCACACTAATGTCAAAATACATATAGGGTTTTTAGTAAATGTAGGTATGTTTGAGAATGACAATTTTTTATGAAATGCTATCAAGGTGCTGGTGTGCCACCTTTACATTTTGAATTAGTTTCCTATTCATATCTGACGTTATCTATGTCCACTAAAATGTAACATACCAGATTAGTTCCACACTAACCATTATTTATCTGTTTTGTTTATTTTTAGACTACAGGTACTGGGACGACCCATCTGATGACTACAGAGTCGAAGAGGGCACGGTACTGCCTCTTTGGAAATTTGAATACAACAAAACAAAAAAACATACCGTTTGCGACTTGGAATGGAATCCACATTATTATGACCTATTTGCAGTCTGTTTTGGATATTGTAAGTAATATTTTTCTTCAATATAAAATTTCCATATCTACATCCAAAAATTTTATACAGGGTAGATGAAAAGACTGGCTACAAGGTATTTTTTTATACGAATGCGCTGGTTCAGTGATGATGTAATTATGGTTCCACTAACAATTAAAGTGATAGTAGATTTTTGAGTGCGTTTTGTTCGTTTTAGTAGATAAGCAAAGTTTGTACGGCGATATATATAGGGAATTCAATGTGTTAGAGAGAGAGGTCCCCTGCCATTGCCATAGCAATGCGATCGAGAGAGATATATGTGTATATAATCTTACGTGACGTAGGTGGGTGACGTAGGTTAACGTTAAAGAGTAAAAATACGCGTAGTAGCAAAGCCAGAAAGGCCTAAATCCATATCTTCGTTGCTATTGGTCCGATTTACATGCAACAAACGGCGTTGTGGGGGAGAAGTGGCGTAGGTTAACGTTAAAGAGAAAAATCATGCGCAATAGCAAAGCCAGAAGGGCCTAAGTCCATATCTTCGTTGCTATTGGTCCGATTTACATGCAACAAACGGCGTTGTGGGGGAGAAGTGGCGTAGGTTAACGTTAAAGAGAAAAATCATGCGCAATAGCAACGCCAGAAGGGCCTAAGTCAATATCTTCGTTGCTATTGGTCCGATTTACATGCAAGGGAGATGGAAACTGTACGTGATCCTGGTATAGTAAGCACCGTTCGAGCTCTAACCTGTTATAATAGCGATGATTCACATCACATGTGTATAGCTGGTTGGAACTTTCCTTCCGTTCCAGTTCTAAATCAAGCTGACAAATCATTTAGTTTATTGATACCGATGAAACACATATTCAATATTTTCAATGATTATCCTATGATTACCTGCGGAAGACAAACGATTAGATTAGTTCGAGCTCGTAGTGATAATGATTGTATATCTATTACTGAAAAATCAAGCGCTGTAAGTGGAGTATCAACAACAACAACTACAACTGTTAAAATAGTGATTGACACTGTTGAACTTAAAATCAAGCACATATATCCCAATGATGAAATAAAACTACAACTAATGCAACAAATACAAGGGGACCGTCCTATTGTTATTCCATTTAGAAAATGGGAACTTCATGAGTTACCTGTCATTACCAAAGGTGCTAAGCGAGAAATTTGGGCTGTTAAGACTAGTGCTGCCGTGGAACGACCTCGTTATGTAATTGTATTCTTTCAAACGAACAGACGTAATAACATCAAGACTGATCCTACTTATTTTGATCATGTAGATATTCAAAGTATACGATTATCTTTAAATGGTGAATATTGGCCCAACGAACGAATGCAATTAGATTTCGAGAAAAACGATTTTACTGAAGCACATTTCAACTACTGTGAATTTTACCCGAGCTACACAAATAATTCCACACAAAAACGTCCCCTAATGGATTATCTTGCATTTAAAAATCGTGCTCTATACGTAATTGACTGTTCAAAACAAGAAGAATCCATGAAATCATCTACGGTTGACGTAAGACTTGACATTGAAGCCAATGTAGGATTTCCTGAAAACACCAAAGCTTATTGCATTATTGTACACGATTGCTTAATGGAGTACTTTCCTCTGACTGAAATAGTTAAAAACATAAATTAATTTGTTAATCTTCATTACGTCTCCAACCACCATGAGGATTGCTTTTGTAGACATCCAAGGCTTCATAGTTAATGGACTTTTCTGTCCGAAAGAACTAACTATCGAAATAGGATTCAAACAAAGTCATTTTATTTTTACGCCTCCGCAACCTTTTTCAAAATTAACTGGGAATGAAAAGAAGACTGTTAAGTATGTAGAAAAATATATTCATGGTATTAGATACTCTTCTGGTGATGTTGATTATTCTAAATTATATGAAATTTTAGAAACTAAGTTGATATATGCTGCTGATTATATTTACATCCGAGGTCAACAAAAAGCTGAATTTTTGCAACAAAATTGTCAAATTTGTTCAGTTTTTCCTACCATTATTGATGTTTGTAAATTTGATGGCACACCCTGTGCGACAGGAAATTTCATTCGTGATCCAAATCCCTGTCATGTCACTGGATTATTTAGTTGCACACAGAAGAACGTTAAAAAATTACGTAGTTGGTTTCTTAATACTATCTTACCATTGTAATTTTATAAATGTAAATAAATAAATGATTATGAACATGAATTTTATTAAAACATCCTATATATTTTCGAATATTTATTTTCGTTAAACATGAAGAACTATAATTTTTGTTTATAACTTCTATACAAATTTTTAATATTATAAGTAATATTAATGATAATGTAATACAAGAAATTATATATAATGTATAATATTCATTTTGAGTTATGTTTATTGGTTGCATGTCAGTCAAATCAATTTCTAATAATGGTGGTGATTGTGGTACTGTTTTCCAATTTTCAAATTCTTCTTCCCTACCATCTTGGTAAACTAATTTTAATTTATACTCCTTTTGATATATAGGTATTGAAAATGTATCCAACTTGCCATCATTCACCTGCATGAAATTCATCATTAACCATTCCGTTGGAGTACAGTCACGTTGAAGATTATCTAAACATATTGCCATTTGTGTTACACCACTAGGTACATTTATATACAATATATTGTTTAATACTGATGTGAGTAGCACAAAATTAGCGTTCAATAAAACAGTCATTTTGTACTGCGGTTGGTTGTATTTTTCTTAACGGATAACGTGTTTGTGGTAGTTGACGAGTTTCTATGTTCCACTGTAGGCTTAGATTCTTTAATTGTTTCGTAATATTTTCTTTGTCCTCGTACAAGATTATGTCTTTATTAAGTTGGTAGAGTTTCTTGAAAAATTTTCTTAATTTACAATCGTATTCTACCGAAGACATCTTAATACTAATGTTGTTATATTTTTGTTCTATAATATATTCTCCTCATTATTGTCGCATCAATACTGCGCATGATTTTTCTCTTTAACGTTAACCTACGCCACTTCTCCCTCACAACGCCGTTTGTTGCATGTAAATCGGACCAATAGCAACGAAGATATTGACTTAGGCCCTTCTGACGTTGCTATTGCGCATGATTTTTCTCTTTAACGTTAACCTACGCCACTTCTCCCCCACAACGCCGTTTGTTGCATGTAAATCGGACCAATAGCAACGAAGATATGGACTTAGGCCCTTGTGGTTTTGCTATTGCGCATGATTTTTCTCTTTAACGTTAACCTACGCCACTTCTCCTCCACAACGCCGTTTGTTGCATGTAAATCGGACCAATAGCAACGAAGATATGGATTTAGGCCCTTCTGGCTTTGCTACTATGCGTATTTTTACTCTTTAACGTTAACCTACGTCACCCACCTACGTCACGTAAGATTATATACACATCTATCTCTCTCGATCGCATTGCTATGGCAATGGCAGGGGACCTCTCTCTCTAACACATTGAATTCCCTATATATATCGCCGTACAAACTTTGCTTATCTACTCGTTTTGTTTACCTAAATTATATCGTTTTTTCACTTTTATAAATATATTCCTAAAGTAAGTAGATAACATGCATCAAATATACAATCGTTTAGTTACCAATTTACATACCTTTCAACTATTTTTATGACCTGTAAACAATATTTAGAAATAAACTAAAAACAGTAAAAACGTAGATGTCAAATTTATTGATGTTTTTGTTAAAAGTTTGGTCAGAATTAAATGTCAGTGGAACCAAAATGACATCACACTGAACTAGCGCATTAATAACTTATATAATATCGAATTGGGATTGTATTCTGCATGTTTTAGAGGGCATATCAAATTTAGGTAATATGAGCGTGTAACAATCAGTTAGTCTAAGGACCACTATTGTCACCAAATGTAACAACCAACTAGTCTAAAGATCCATTTGTAACAGCTGATAGGTCTTTACCTACTGTTGTCAATATACTATTATGGGATTAAGTCAACACTGTCACCAGCTAAAGGGTTCTGGAGTTCGGAAGGAATCTTACGAATGTCACCGACCTTAGTATACGTTAGTGTATACCAAGGTCGGTGACATGTTTGGTTTGATGTCATTTTGGTTCCACTGACATTTAATTCTAACCAAACTTTTAACAAAAACATCAATAAATTTGACATATATTTGTTTTTACTGTTTTTAGTTTATTTCTAAATATTGTTAACAGGGTTTTGTAAAAATGAATAAAAAATAAGAGAATTTGCTGCAATTGGTGCAAAAATTAGATTTAAAATAATCATATTCTCTTTGTTTTCTTAAATTCTAGAGTTCCTCTTTTACAGTCTGATGTTATATCTTTATTTAAGTTCGTGTTCTATGTTCACCTGTCTACATTAGACACTTGACAGATGGTTGTCAGATCGTCATCAATCATCCATGCTTGAATCTTGATATAACATGGTTAGATAAATTAAGATTAAACATATTTATATTTAATCTTGTTGTATTAATAAAATAACATAACATAAGAATAATACAATAACTCCATGGGTAGGTTACTGGCATGGATGCGCGGTGCATGGAGTAAAGATAGATTGCGACTAAATTTTCGTGTCACAGCGACAAACGGCGACTGCTCCGAAAAAGTCGCAGTGACAAATCACCACGACTTTTCGGAGCGGTAAACTAGATCGCGACTTGTGGCTTTGTGTCACGTCCTCACGTAAAAAAATCCTTATTGCCAGGCCTTTTTAGCTAACATGTATAATATCTTATATTGTAATAAATTTGGATATTTTTCATTAATCTCATGAATTTTAATAAAATCTAAATTTTCTTCCATTTGGACAAAAGCAAGAGCATCAATAACATTAATCGATCGAATCATTTATATAGAAAGTTTAATTTTTTTTTTTAGTGGATTACTCAAAACCAGTCGGCGGAGGAGCACTGTGCTTGTTTACATTAAAAAATCCATCATTTCCCGATTACGTTTGCATGACAGAGTCTGCAGTTATATGCGTGGACACTCATAAAAAATATCCTTTCATGATAGTTATAGGATTATACGATGGGAGCGTCAGAGTGTACAATATTAATATATCCTGCAAGGAACCAGCCTATCAAAGTAACAGTGTCGAAAATAAACATAGAGGTATAGTTTGGGAGGTACTTATTCAAATTTTTACTATACTCAGAATTTTATACGTTCTAACTTTAAATACCATGCACACTTAATAAAAGCAACTGCCCATACAGTCATTGGAAAATGCGCATATGTTAGGGGTAGATAGAGGAATCCGAGGTGGTTCTATAACCTATCTGTAACTGAAGCGTGTGAAGGTTTACTTTACTAGGTCCATTCTGCATCCTCCTAAGTTGATAAGCCCCTCCTAGCTGGTCAGGTAGCTTACAGAGTTGATATTATTGGCAACATCGCTGAGAGGTGCTTCTTACATCAGCCTGTGTTAGCCAATACTCGGACATTCGTAGAGAATATGCTTGATAGTTTTATAGTCATGTTTCCGTACTTGGCAATGATCAGTCGGAATGTCTGTGATCAGGCGTAGATTCTGTCTAATCATAGTCAAGCAATTGTTTGATATATTGTTGTCAAAGTAACTAAAAAAACTTTCTGGCAACTCTGGTGCTTCTTGTTTGTTTCAATCCACCTTTCCTTGAATTTTAAAAGGGAATGATTATTTGTCACGATCGACGGTATTAGTCAAATGGAAGGACCAGATCCAAAAAGTATTTGGTTGGCTGCCTTCTTAGGGGTGCCAGCCTAAAACCCCGGTGACCAAATCCCCGCGACCGAATCTCCGGGACAAAATCCCCGGAGCCAAAATCCCCGACGACCAAACCCCCGGAAACAAGAATCCCCGGTGGCAAAATTCCCGGGAATAAAATCCCCGACGTCACAAAATACCCGTGCCAAAAAACATTGCAAAAAATCGAAAAATATTATTATTCCATTAAGTTTCAAAACATGATAAAGCATGTTTATGCCCGATATACTCAGCCTTTCACAAAACAATGTTCACGATTAGCCGCGCCAGATATTATTCTTGATTTAATAATATTCTCATGTATTTTTCAACTGATATGTGTCGTATATCGTAGCATTCTATTACTAACCCACAGTAAATTCGTGGTCGGTCCAAGGAGAGTAGTGCTTGTTTGCTATCTGTATAGATGAGCATTTTCCTTCCAGTGATATGTTATGTTATGTTGGGAATAGCGTGTTAGTACACTGCGACTTAAAAGATCTATTGCGCCCCCTTCTAACGCCAATGCACCAAGGAAATGTCTCAATGCCTATAACGATCCTTCCAATCCAATTTTCTCAAGTAAGTGTAGGATTTGAAGTAACTTCAAGTTAGGTAAATCTCCCTCTTCTCTTTGATAGCCTCCTAGATATAGTGCCCTTGGATTCTGGAGTGCTATTTAGAATGTGAATGGAGGTTTCGTCCTCCTCCTCCTCACAGAATCTGCACTCACTATCCTCAACTACTCTCAGTTTACTTAGGTGTCCTTTTAGTCGGCAATGCTCGGTAAGGATCCCTGTTAAAATACGTAGCCTGTTCTTGCTCAGGCAGATGTAGGCTTCCGATCTTTTCTGGTTATATTCACCCAGAAGTATCTTGGCCTGTCTCAGCCCCAACAGATTGTTCCAATTATCGGTTTTTCTACTGTCCAATTCTTTTTTAATCTCTCCTAATATTATGTTACTGCTGATACCGCAGAACGGCTCAGGTCCTACAAAGGGTGTTTGAGTCCCTTTCCTTGCAAGACTATCTGCAATCTCGTTACCCTGTACCCCGTTATGTCCCGGGACCCAAGTGAGAGTAACTCTCGCCAAGCTCATTCAATGGTTCTAGGCATCTTCAGACCATTTTTGAGCTGATTACGTAAAAGCTCAGCGCTTTGATGGCTGCTTGACTATCGGACATGATGATAATCTCTTGTCTATGATAGTTTCTCTCGATGTTGAACTGGATACACTTCTCGATGGCGTGAATGTCCGCCTGGAAGATGCTTGGATATTTTACCAAGCTTTCGGAGTGCTTGGTTCTCGGCCCATACACTCTCAGTCCAGTTCCTTCTATGGTTTTGGAACCGTCCGTATACGACTGAATAGCACGTCTTTCGGTTGCAAGCGCGATGGATTATTGGCTCCATTCTTTCTTGCAGCCCAGCTCTGTGGTTTTGAAGTTTTTCACAAAACTGTACTTCTTTAGTATTTCATCCTGGGGCATGTCCCAGGTATCTTTAGTCTTGAAGCAAGTAGACTTTCGTCTGATTACTCCGTTCCTGATCATTCTATATCGTGTCCTTTTTGCCACATTCTCTATCATTAAATGTAGAGGGGTGAGGTTTAAGATCACCTCCATTGCGGCCGTAGGACAGGTTCTCATTGCACCATTAATGCAAACACAGGCTAGTCTTTGTACTTTTGAGATATTAGCTCTCGTAGTAGCTAAACTAGTTCTGTTACTCCAGGCTATAGCTCCGTAAGTGATGATTGGTCTCACTATTGCAGTATACATTCATCTCAGTGTTTTTGGGTTACATCCCCATCGTTTTCCTGCAATGTTTCTGCATACCATTAGGGCTTTTGTGGCCTTATTTACTACTTCCTTCTCATGTGTGTTCCAGAAAAGTTTGTTGTCCAAGGGTAGGCCTAGATATTTGACTTCATTATTCCATTCTATATATATCCCGTCTAATTTAACGGTTTTGAGATTAAGTTTTATTTTCCTTGAAAAGGCTACTAGCGTTCGGTTTATACTAAGTCCCACTTCACGGCACCATCTTTTGGTAAGTTCTAGTCCTCGTTGGACTATATCACACAGGATATAACTAAACTTGCCACTAGCAAATATGACTATGTCGTCGGCATAACCTTGACAGGGTATGTCGAGGTCAGTTAATCTGCATAGAAGTTCGTCTACGGTTAGGCTCCACATTAGTGGGGATAGAACTCCTCCTTGTGGACATCCTCTGGTGCTCAATTTGAACTACACTGATGTATATTCCACATCCTGAGCCTTGTTTTGTTTTAGAACCGACGTTGTAGATATGAATCGTACTTGCCACTTCCGGCTCTTTTATTTGTTCCGTTGTAACTTTGTATCCTTATAAAAGATATATCTCGGAGTCTCTTATCTACCTTTACTATCTACTTTATTATAATTGGAATTGATAAATTAACGGGCTTTCCATGGATGTGCATTTTGGTAGTTTGATAGGAATTTATTTAATTTTTGTAAACTGTTACATATATGAAACACTAAAACTGGTCGAAACCATCTGCCAATATTTTAGGTTAAGTGGGCTGAAGATTTAACGGACGGTGAACTAAACTTCTTTTCCGTGGGCGGTGATGGCAAAGTGAACAATTGGGTTCTAATGCAGGGCGGATTAGCTGTTACAACGATCATAGAATTGCATTTAGATCAAGCACCTGTTGCCGGGCCAGATGGCACCACGCTGAAAGTAAAAGGTAATTATATAATATTGGTAATGGAAACAAGTAGAAAGTCTTCTTCTGACAGAACAAACCGTGTTGGTTGTTTGCATCTACGATGATTTTTCTACATTCTTCTCTGCTTTTCTTAATAATCCATCTTGGTGTACTCCTTCCTCCTTTTTTCCACAGGTTCCATTCCCATACAGCACAAACACATTTCGGAAATATTTCAAAAATGTTACAATGAAACTATTGTAATGTCGTATAAATATTACTAAACATCCCATAAACATTTCTGAAATGTGCCTGAAACGTAAAAATGTCCTGTAAATATATTTCACAGTAATATTTCTGAAATGAAAATTTGAAATCTTTTAGAAATATTAAATAGTAATATTTCAGAAATGTATTTTAGTTTTTTTTCTTAAATATTATTAGACTAAAAAAAAAGACATTTAAAAATATAAATGTTTATTTAAAATACACAAAATTTAAACATAGATTCTTAAACAAACAAATAAATAATTTTTATACATTTCATAAAATATAAAAGAGAATCGCTTCATTTCCACCAATTCCTTTAAATGCACTAATCTGAAACAAATAGGTTTTTTTATAAATGCCCAAGTAAAGAAATGTATACGATTATTACAATCTGATTATTAAGATCAATTAGCAATTTTATTCTAACCTAACTTATCTAGTGATGATAAACTTCATTTAAACTTCCGTCGAAAATAAATGATTAGGTTATTATTATAATTATTTTGTTACCTACCGTTAACGTATAGTACTTGACAGCACTATACTCTGCTTTAATTTAACATCACTCATAAAGCTTGGTTCTCTTGAGTCTTATTAGATTGACATTGTTGAAGAGCTGGATAATCTCAAGGTTTCCATGTTGAAGCAGTCGTTGTTGGTGACTACTGGCAAATCTTTTTATTGTATTTTTAACAGTCTCCACTTTAAGGTCCCTATGAAGATCAGTTTTGCGGCAGTATTAGAGTGCATCGACGATGTTCCTTAATACTTTATTCTGGAAATGTTGAATAACTTGGATGGTTCTTTTGCTGCAGGTACATCGGCAAATCCCCAAAGCTGGCCAAAAGCTCAATTTTAAATGACCTAATCTGAAACAAATTATAGGCAATTAAAAAGGATTTATACAAATACTCATGCCTAAATAAAACATCCGCTTTTCAATCAGCTGTAGAACTAATAAATAGAACTGGTGTGGGACTCACCTCAATTTCTAAAGACATATTCTGCTTCCCATATAACAACAGCACAACGCATAAATAACAAAAAAAGGAAATGGCAAAAAGCAACAACTCCAATCTATAAATATTTAGAATATAGGGTTGTCTCATGCTGATATGCTGGACAAGAAATAAAATAAGATATCCCATCTTTTTCTTACAAATCAGATATTCTTCATTAAGTGTTGGCCTTTTACAACATAACTCGTTTAGTAACCTTTTGTGTAATATGTATACCATGTTTCAGAAACATTTTCAGTGAAATATTTAATTAAAATATTTCAGAAACTTGTGCTTGAAATGTTATATGTTCGAAACGTTTGAAATATTTCTGAAAACTTCTGAAATATTGTCTGCTGTATGGGTTTGTATAGTGTTTCACAAAAAATGTTTTTAAAGGGATCCTTGAAAAATTCACGTATCTCGATTCTTATATTTTTTCTTCTTTTTGAGTATCACTTTAAATTTAATTCATAACCCTACATATAGTTATCACGGACATGACTCATGTCTCTGTCTTTGTCGGTCACGGTCTACTTTCTAATTTTTTTTTGCATATCACGTTTTAGCTATATTATGTGCCTATTAATATTTTTTTAGCCAGTATTTGTTGCATTAAACTTCATCCGGTCAATCCGGAAATATATCTTATTGGTACCGAAGAAGGTAGTATCTACAAGTGCAGCGTTGCCTATAGCTCCACCTACCTTATGAAGTACGAAGCGCACCAGATGCCTGTTTGCCAAATAGACTACAACAAATTCAACACGGATATTTTCATTTCGTGCAGCATGGACTGGCGAATCAAAATTTGGGAGGATAACAGATTGTAAGTATTTCTTTTTTTACTTATTTCAGTTTTTGAACAAGTAGGGGTAATTTTGTTATTTGTCTGGGACTTGAAAAGAATGTAATATCTTCTCTCAGTTTAAAACAGATTTTTCATTATATATGATTACTAAACGAGTATCTTATTTTCATTCCAACATAGTAACAGACTGTACATTCTCCACGGTGACAGACACAGAAGGAGTTGAATATAGTAAAATGAAATATTGAACAAAATGAAATAATTAACCTAACTTATGTTAGACAAGGTTTTGTTTAAATTATTTGCATAACTTATCAGTTGAGGAGGAATATTATCAAATTCCATATTATAATCATTCTATTCACCAATTTTTGAGTTTAAGTTTCAGTTAACAAACGCCGCTTATCTTTATTCAGGATAATTCAAAATAAATACTAATACGTCGCGTAGAACTGTCAGTCATGAAATTCATGACTATCTACGATGCGAGCGCGATATTAACAGCAATTGGCCAGTAGCTATTACATAATGAACATTCTGTCTCTAGAGTTTCTTTTAATCAGAATTTTTTTTAATCTCAAGAGCGAGAATTTTTTCTTTTTGTTATTATAAGTGGTTTCGGAAGAACTACATTCAGTAGTGGCCGTGGAGAAAATATTTTCTACTTATTTAGTAATATGGTGTGCAGGAGTATTAGATTACTAGCACTCCTGCATCCTACACTATGGAGTATTAGACTGCTAGTACTCCATAACCTATATAGGACACGAGGCGGCTAATGGCCTAAGTTATCGAAGCCAATGACTCCAATAAAAAACCTAAAATCACTTCAATGAATAATAAAATAAATAAAATATAGATATTTAGACTATAAAAAACTTTGTTTGGCTCATTATTAACATCATTAATAATGGCACTGCATGTTGTAGATTCGTTTTAGGGTTAAAGAACTATTTTGTTTATATTTTCAGAGAACCCCTTTTCGTTTTCGACATTGGCGACAGAGTAGGCGATGTAAAATGGGCACCTTATTCGTCCACTGTTTTTGCGTGCGTGACATCGGATGGTAAAATATACGTCTACGATTTGAACGTAAACAAGTACAAACCGATTTGTGTGCAGGCCATAGTTTCCAAAAAGAAAAACAAAACTACTAAGCTCGCGTTCAATTACAATTTACCTATTGTCGTGATTGGTGACGACAAGTAAGTATTATTTCAACACCAAAAAAGACTTGAGAATATCCTAGTAATAATAGTCCTAAGAGCTACTTTACAGTTTTCAATAATACTTGTTACAAGTAAAATTGCGGCATTTCCTACTAAGAGTAATGGGGGTAATATTTTAATCATCGAGATAGCATCAAATAGAGACGAAATAAACACTATTTTGCGATATGACAGATAGATGCACTTAGGATGCCAAGACTGACGAAAAAGTTTAATCAAAATGACAACATGAGTCGTACTTTATTCATTCAATAATATTTATTATATTTGAAGACTAACAGAATTAAAATATTTTTTATATATTTTAAAAGATGATATTTTAAAAAAATTACATTTATTCCAAAGAAGTAGGAAGGGTAGAATGATAAGGTACCGTCTGCGCATCCATGACGAGTGTAGAAATTATGCATGATTCAACCTTGCACTCTTACTCACGTAAATAACAAGGAGAGGTTGCCCTAAAGCACAGTAAACAAATTTCAGGTTTGACTTAGTTCAGCTTTTGTTTTTTGTTTGTGCTGTGGGTGTTGTAAGATTTTTTGGCGTCGGTTCTTTATTGGCTTGCTTATATTTGTGATTTTTTGTGCTTTGATTTCGAGTTGGTATTAAATTATACCTGATAATTATTTTCGGATGCACTATTTTATAATTGTTACACAATTCTTAAACCGTCCCTGAATCTTGTTCTTTTGTTCGCTGTTGGTGCAGTGTGCACCAGTGTAAATTACACCACCATATTTACCTAGGTTACTTCCTCCTTATTCCTTATACACATGTCGAGTGTAATTCACTCCTGCTAAATAGCTGGTGGAGAAAATGATCACCAGTGGATACCACATTGCCGACAGGAAGCTGCAGTGGATTTTACACCGGGCCAATTGAACGTAAAATGTGTCTATACTTTTTCATTGACAGTTATCATTCTACCCCTCTCCACTTCATTGATTTATTCTTATCAAGACAGGGATTATTATGTGCGTACTCAACACGTAACGAATCAAATAGAGAGAGACATTACATTCAAATCGCATACTGTGGAACGAAGTTAGAAGCTTCTCAACACGTGCCGAATTGAAAGATGAGAATCCCACTGCAGAACTGACCACTATAGCTCGAGTTTGACACATGACGTAAAAGTGCAATACAAAGGTGCGGACACTTTTAGTATCGTCATCTCAGAGTAGTAGAACAGAAGTAAAAGTTGGAAAAGCTTTTGCCTGTTCTCCCACTTTATACACATAAATTGACAGATTGGCAGCGGATCTCACCGAAGTGGACGCGATACATTGGCGTACAAAATTATTTTATAGATGTTAATAACAATTTCGAGTAAATAGTTCAATAAATTGTGAATAGCTGTTGAAATTTTGTAAAATTATAATTTGAATATTATAATACATGTTTAATAATTATTTATAATCCATAAATACATGCGATTGTCCGGTTTCGCCGATAACAATTTAAAATTACTTATTCTATGAAATGACACTGGCAGGTAAACATTACTGTGAAATTCTCGGAGCCGCCCGACGTGGTTTGACGTTTACCCCCTCTCTACCTACCAAAAGACTTTTCAACTTTTACTTTCTCTATACAGAGAGGACAGTAAACAATTTTTTTGTCGCCTTGATATCGCATGAAAGATTCTTATTAGAGAGAAATAGATTATCTCTATCTCTATATTTATTTTTCCAGTTAGTTTTAGACATTTTTTAAGTTTTTATTTAAATTCGTTCAAGTATGGTGGTGTTAAAAGTGACTTTGATTTGTAGGGTTTATTTTATACTAGGAAAATACTTGTGTTTTATGTGATTTTAAATATAAAAGAGGAAGTGAGGTTACGTTTCACTCGTTAATATTATTTCTTACCGAAGAACATGGGCGTCGTTTTAGGAGAAAAAAGGAAAATAAAAAATGCATATTAAAAAAAATAAAATTATTATTAGTGTTCTAAAATACGAATTAGAAGAAACTTATGGTTAGAGGCACTTGAATGGACTGAAATGTTAGAAATTGAACAAATATATTACATTTGTTCAATGCACTTTTTAGAGGACGGCTTTGCTGCAACAAATATATTTATAAGTTTGTAGTTTCTAAAAAATATCGAGCACTTTTAAAAATTGTATCTTTACTTTTTAGAAACTTTGTATTACACAAACAAAGTAGGAAAAAAAGAGTAGTGGTGAACCTATGTCACCTAAAAAAAATAGATGGTATTGTGTTTAATAAATTTGGCGAACCAATAATATGTTTGAATGTTTTTAGTATAGTAATTTCTTCAGATACTAAATTATTTTATTATGGGCCTTCTTTAAAAGTATTAAACTTGTCAACAAATAAAAGAAGTTATAGTTTGAACAAAAGTACCTCATACACTTCAATATTAAGTTATATATATATATATATATATATATATATATGATATATAGTAGACTGGGCCAAAAAAATAGCGGAACTATAAAAATATTGTTCATGACGACAAAAAAAAAATTCATGAAAGTTTGAGCCCTTAATAATAATATTAAGAGGTGCATCAATGCAGTTATTGATTTTTCAACAGTTGTCGCGTTCTTGCATAAATTTCGGACTTGGTCAATTTTAAAAAAATTTTTCATCTCTTATCCTTGTAGGAAATTAAATTCCCCACAAAAAAGCTCTCTTAGTAAATTTTCGTAAGACGAGTCTATTCTTTGTAATCTTAATATTTAAGTTCATTTTGGAAATCCCAAATGCAAAGTGAAAAATTGAAAATATATACCAATGTTTAAGGCTCGATTACAAAGAATAGACTCGTCTTACAAAAATTTACTTGGAGAGCTTTTTTGTGGGGAATTTAATTTTCTACAAGGATAAGAGATGAAAAATTTTTTTAAAATTGACCAAGTCCGAAATTTATGCAAAAACGCGACAACTGTTGAAAAATCAATAACTGCAATGATGCAGCTGTTAATATTATTATTAAGGGCTCAAACTTTCAGGAAAATTTTTTTTTGTCGTCATGAACAATATTTTCATAGTTCCGCTAAGAAAAAAAATTGTTTTATTTTTTTGGCCCAGTCTAATATATAGTTATATATATGACTCTGAAATTCTCATCAACAAAATTTGAGTTACCATTAATTAAGAAGTAAATCAAACATTGAATTAGATCTAAGCTGATGAATTAAATTGTATATAAATACCTATTTCAGAAATCCTAGATATTTTGGTAACTTTACATTGAAGTTTCTAGAAAATCGGACATTACGAAGACTTTTTTGTTGCCAATAGTACTGCTTCAAACTTACGAAACAGAAATCGAACATTACAGACACAATTAAGAGTGAAAAAGTATGTGCAATATCAAAAAAATTATTAGTTTTTGGACTGTATATATTTGTACTTGGTCTAAAAGATAAACTATCATCAATAATATAAGAATATTTAGTTACCTACTTTAAATAAAGTAACTAGATAATTTATATTTTAAACGAAGTCATTAGAAAAGTAAATTAAATTCCTATATATTTTTTTAATATCCTGAAATACTTCTACTTATGCTAAATAGGTAAATATATATTGGTTTGTTTTATTCTTATTAGGAATATTTTGTCATGTTTAAATTAAATGCTTTATGTATTTCTTCAGTTCTACCATTGTATAGCTTTTCAACAGGTATAGATATTTTATAGAATTCCAAATCCTTGCTGTAATTCTAAATATTTTAGAAGCAATAAAATATTTATTATATTTTTTGACATGACAATAATGTTATATTTTGTTTTCAGTTCAATAAAAACGTACCTATCTTTTAAAACATTATTTTGTACTTTTTTAATCTATTTGCAGTCACTATTTTCACATTTAAAATAACCCAATGCAATCCGTTTACGTACGATACAGCTGAACATTCTAATATGAGTGAGAAAGCCTGCATTAGAAAAAGAAACAATGATTTTATTAGAGCGACCTGAGAGAGCGACATCAACATTGTATAGATTTATACAGGGGTAGCCTATCTGTCAATATATTATCTAAGATCGTCATATCATCTCCTCTTTATTCTGTCTCAATGATTTTAATAATTTCCAAAGGCGTTCCATTACCGTGAAGTCTATGAAATGCTCTGTCAAAAAACTTTTTAATTTGAAAATATTAATAGTCGCATTAAAAAATATTCTATTCAACAATAAATAGAACGTTACCCTAAACACAGCTTATTCAATGCCAGCTACTTGGAATTAAATGGAAAGTTTGCGCATAGCCGGCCGCGCTTTTGGAGTGGCAGTCAAAGATTCAGTGCTTATAGCTTGTGTCGACATAACTGAGTTTTATAATTTTTTTAAAATTAGGTTTGTTCCAACTTTCCGCCATTGAGGTCTTTCCTTTCCGCCCACGCTACCGCCAACATAGATCCCTTGTTCTCACCTCAACACAAAACATTCATTTCACTTTATAACCACTTTACCACCAACATCAAAAAAATAACAACACTATACAGGGTGTTAAAAAAAAAGTGTCACAAAATGAAATGGTGAATAGATGACCCAAAATAAGCAGAAAAGTCTTAATAAATATATGACCGCAAATTAACGGTTTCGGAGATACGGACCATTTTGTGTTTATAACAATTTGTTATTATTATAAAAAAACAATGATATTTATAAACAATCAATAACAACATAGAGTTAAATGAGATGTTCAAAGTGCCCTCCCTCCATTTCAATGCATTGCCATTTGCACGACCGTACATAAAATGCATGTCAGCTAATTCAATATTAGTGTAAACAGGCATAACGAAAATTTATAAAATTATTCACCCACAACAAAATAATAACTGCAAATAGTATCTATGAAAAAACATCGGTAGACTCCGATAAGAAAAGCAAGTTTTTGAGAATGAAAAAAGATAATCAAAAAATGATACAAAACACAAAACACTCCGTATCTCTGAAACCATTCATTTGCGGACATATGTTTATTAAGACTTTTCTGCATATTTTGGCCCATACTACCCCCCGTTTTATTTTGTGACACTTTTTTTTAACACCCTGTATAACCTTCTTTTATTCTTCGTTAATCTAACTCATAAGTTAATTATTGAATGCCGAAAATTGTAGTTGTTGTTCATTTGAAATTAAATGATAGGTTAGGTTTTCTGTCCTCCTTCTCTTGCAAAAACAAAACGTTGAATTTCTAGTCATCGATTCAAAGACCAACGATGCCAGTATATAGGAACGTCTTGGACTCGGACCGAAAACTGAACGTTTTGTCGAAACGGGACCAAAATAAGGTCGTCCAGAGGACGTCCTACTCGTCCTAGTGTTCACGATAATCGGAAGTCCAGTGGACGTCCAATTTAGGTTCCGGACTAACCGGATCAACAACCCAGACAGCACACCAAATCCTTTGGATATCTACTGAACATCCCAATATCCACTGAATGTCCAGTCCATGGTAGATATCTATTTTATATCCATAAAATGTAATTTATAGACATGCAAATGTCCATAAATAATAGTAATTATATAGCAAATTATTAAAAAATTACGCCATTGTGGCTAATAGTACCGTTCAGATATTTAAAATTAATTTTTTTAAGGTGTATTCAATATCCCATGAACATCCACTAAATATATCAAAGTCTAGGCGCGAACGCAAACCATCGTGGATATCCACTAGGTGTTATTTGATTCTGCTTACTAAGTATAGATGGCGATACCACTATCGCATCTACTCATACTCGACCCGCCGTAATTGAGTCGAGAATTTTCATTTATTGCTGAAGAGTCCTAATAAGGATGACTTTCTCCTTAGTGGGCAAAATCAAAGGCAGAGTGTTGAAAATATTTTGAGTGTTGAAAATATTTTTTATCTCTGCTATTTTCTTTCGACGTTATTCAATAATCATTGGTTACTTATGAACCTCTACTAAAGATACCCATAAAATATTTTGCTGAATATCCGAATATCTTCTATATCCTGGGATATAGACGGACATTTGGTTGGATATCCATATTGGATATTGAATATCCACAAAATATATTCTGTGGATATCTCTGTGATTTCTTGTATTTTCTGGAAGATACCCATTAGATATTTTGCTGAATATCCATTAGGATATCTTCTATATCCTGGATATAGACGGACATTTGGTTATCCATATTAGATCCACGGAATATTTCTGATATCCTGTGGATATATTGGATATCGACAAAAGATATTCTGCGGATATCTCTGGGATTTGGTGTGTTGTCTGGGAAGGGACCAAATCAGGGCGTCTATCTGGGCAGGACCCAAGGTTTCGTCTTATCAGCACTACAGTTTAAACTGTGCCAGCACTCTGTGTTAAATTTAATTCATTCCTGTTTTTTTTTTTTGTAAACTGAAAACGTTTATCTCTAGCTAGTCTTTTCTGGATAAAACTTATTAAATAAAGCCCTGTTATTGTTAATATTTTTGTTGTGGTCTGTGGTCTTGTTTACCTGCCTAAGACGTCCTGTAAAAGTTCAGAATGTTCCTATGACGGGACATTAGTACGTCCATTGGACGTCGGATTTACACCCCGGTACCGGAAGAAGACATCCTTCTTGTCCATGACGGACGTCTTTTACACTTCTATAAGGGGTTCATGTGCTATGTGGGTAAGATAATAAATAGACTGACTGCCTCAACTCTACACACTGTCTACTCATGAGCAAAGCAGAAATTTTCGTTAATTTTGTAGTAAACATTTTTCGAAGCGCTTTATTAAAAAATAACTTAATTTGGCTTTTTCATTTCTCCTTACTAGTTCTTCATTTAAGTGCTAAAAAAAATGTCTTAAAAAATCTACAATTATTTTGTTTCTTATTATGAGTTGTATTTATTTAACAAGCAAAAGAATTTATGAAAATTACTTTTTTTTTAAATTTAAAATAAATATTTTTACAAGTTGAAAATTAGCTAGTTGTATTTTTGATGAAATAAACTGTGATTTGCACGATTGCACTTCTGATAGGTTAAAAATCTTCTGCCGCAACTATACTAGCGGATCTTTATTCCTAACCATGATCAGTTTTTAACCATTTTCTTTTTGAGAATTTAAACACCTTGATCCGCATGATCTGAATGTAATAAATGCATGCAAAGAAAACTGTGAAGTTGCCACTACTGAAATTTTATTAAAAATGTCGTTTACACAGGTCGCTTTGAACCTGAAACACAAACATCTATTGTTAGTGATGGATTCGAGCCGTAATCCCTACCCTACTGTTTTTTTTTCGTGCGAAATGTGAATATAAGCCTAAAACCAGTTGACTTTCGAACCACAAAAGATATCATCGAAAGATGAGTAGCCGGTAGTAAATAAGCTGTGCCTTAAGCATGTACATTGTCCCTGTGAAAAGAAGTAGCCCAGATACCGATATCTGCCACATTACTCCATTTTTTCTGAATCTTTGAATGTATAAAGCTCTTGTTGTGAAAAACAGTGTTAGGTATACTCTTCTTAAGAAAGTAGAACTTTGAAATATATATCTTATTTATTGTTAGTTAATTGGTGGTAGTGAACGGAACTTATGTAGTTAATTAATTCAAAAACATTGTTTTAGAGGTTGTTCGTCGGTAGTAAAACTATCACCAAATCTCAGGATACCTTGCAAGGCGCCGAAGAAGCAACAAGATTTGGATCAGAACACTTTGCAGCTCATGAAGTTGGACAAACTGTTAGCGGTACTTAGAGAACCATCAACGTTGATATTACCGGAAGACACGGCCGAAAAAGATGACGATTAAAAAAAAGACACATTAGATTTTAAATTTTTTATTAACATTTTAATAAAAGTTCTATCTACAATTGTATTAAGGGAAATCCGGGTGACAGTATTATAATCTTTTTAGACTAAGTTATAAGGAATAAATTCATGTAGACATTAGAATTTTTTGTGTATTCTTGATCTCTAACAAAATTTCGTAATACAAGTTGGAAAATTAGACGTTTTAGACAGAAACAAGTGTTTTTTACGAGCACATTTATACTTTTCCTTTTAAAAAAGATTTGATGGCAGAAGTATCACTGACAGCTGACAGATTGTTGTTACCGCCATTTTATATCCAAATCTTATAAACAAACATTTTTGGTACTCATCTAAGTACAATTATATAACATTGTACCGAAGTTAAAGACTAATGATGGAAGTAATACTGTAAAACGAGCCATATTAGAAATGTGTCTATTTTATGATGCGAATTCAAGAGGACAGCACGTTAAAATCAAAATACTAAATATATAATTGAAAATATATATGTATATACAACGCTTTTGATACAAGTTTATGGCGTCTTACGATTGTGAATTATCATACAAAACTGAAAATAATAAGCGACTCCTTTGAGAAAAATATTTTTTTAAATGACATTTTTTAAGGCAATATATTATAAATATAATAGACCGTCAGATAGTGACCGATTTAGGTGCCCCATTTTCGCATACAAGCCTCGAAGACAGTTGAAAAGTACATCGATGTTGAGTAGAATGAAGGAAAATTCAGGTGTGGCTCTTGGGGATAACAAATGGAAAATTCGATTTTCCTTATCAGAAAAATTTTCCGACCCCAAAATGCACTTATACACTCAGGTCATTCAAGAAAATATATTTTTCGGACTAGTGACGATGTACGTTTTCATACATTCGATGGGCTTGTGTGGAAAAATCTGGTAAAATCTAGATTTTCCATAGAAGATTACGCCCTTATTTCAACGCTTTAGCCACTTGCAACATTAAAGCCTTTGGTTTTCCGAAACCTAGTTCTATTAATTAATCATATAGTGAAAACGGCTTGCGTGGAAATATGGACAACAAATAATCTTTTATTTTTGTTGGGGAAAATCGAATTGTCCATGTGTTATCCCCAGGAGTCACTCGTAAATTTAATTTCATTCTACTTAAAATCGATGTACTTTTCAACCCCCTTCGAGGCTTATATGCGAAAATGGGGCGCCTAAACCTATCACTAACTGACGGTCTATAAGTACAAACTCACTTAATTAAGTTTGGTTTCCTGGATAAAACGTGGATATTTTTGAAAAGATCACTTAAACGTACATGGCAAAAAGAAAAATTTTAAGAGCTTAAATGGACCTTTCTCGTTATTGATGATCTCTATTACTCATGCGCAAATTCTACTTCCGCGTCCCCCCCCCCTAGATGAAAATTCTTACAATGTATGAGCCATTTATTTAAAATGCTTAAAAGAGAATGGCTAATGGCAATACTCCCCGAAAATTCGTCTTGGAGCCGCCCTTGATAGACTGTAGACTATTATGAAGTGCACTCTCCTGTTTCTATGAATAACGAATCTTTTATAAAATTGCTTTGTGTAAAGTTAACACCAATGCTGATGGAATAATCGCTAATCATCTTGGATGTTTCCTACCACAGTTCTTTAATAGCAAAATTGTCCCACGCTTGACGGATTAAATAAAAGTTACAGGCAGTGGCAGCTCGTAACCAAAATATTGGGGGTTCAAAATGACAGAATATATATCTCATCAGTACAGATTTAGGTAAACAAATTTCACAGTGTTTTAGAAAGGTATATTATAATAGTCTAAGAGACCGTGGGAGGTCTAACTTCACCCATCTGGTAACCAGATGAGGCATATTTTTTATGAAATTTTATTGATTTATTAACACGCCTATGGGAACTTGCCATTCGAAAAGTGTTCATGACTATTTTTGATTAAATATAGCAAGGCATTATTATTCCATGAACAGTTTTTTGCAGGCAAGCCTATACGATTATTTTCATAAATAAATTATCTTTCTGCTGATATGAATTTTTATTGGTTGACATATCGGTGTAGTTACCTATATTGACTTACCTGTTCATATCTACTTGCTAGGTAGCCATGAACATAAATATGTAAACAAGCCTACTGAGGCATATTTTCTATGTTAAAAACTATCTGTTGAAATTAAATTTGTTCGATTTTATCAAAAAAGTGAAGGTTATAAAAAAATTGAATAAAATTTAATTAAAAATAGCCATGAAAACTTTTCGAATGGCAAGTTCCTATAGGCGAGTTAATAAATCGATAAAATTTCATAAAAAAAATATGCCTCATCTGGTTATCAGATGGGTGAAGGTCGAGCTCTCACGGTCTCCTTTACTATAAACACTAAAAGTTTTTTACCTAATTGACTGTGAACCCCCAATATTTTAGAGACGAGCCGCCACTGGTTACAAGAATGATTACGAGTAGGGGTGGCAAACAATCGATTAGAGGATTATCATATTTTTTAATCGATAATCGATTATTTTCGATTAATCGAAATGATTATTTTAAATAATCGATTATTTATTTTGATAATCGCCCAGCTCTAGTTACAACTGTTACGACCGAGAATAACCAAACGCCGAGAGGCGACAAAGACCCTTTCCCGCCGGGTCGATTTTCGAAGGCGCATGATCGAAAATATGGTGTCTATTTACATGTGGCCAGCTAGATCAGCGCAACACCGTATACGAAGGTGTCCAGCGATTTTGATCCGAGCGCAACAACTGTAGTTTCGACTGTTTTGAATTATTTCTTTCAGTTATTACTGTGTGATTTACTCCCTTACTAAAAACATATTTAGAGTTGAGCAGTGTAAATTTCAAATTTCCGCGCGATCGCGTGATGACTGCGAGCTAATTCAGCCTGCGTGTGGTGTAATTATGGTGTCTTCAAGGTCACCGCAAATCGACCCCACAACCATCAAACGTTCCGACAAAGCTGTCGCTTCTCGGCGTTTGGTTATTCTCGGGTTACGAGCTAGAAGAATAAGGTTTGACAAATACGCTTTTGAATATTTGTCGCATGAATAAGCTACTAAATAGTAGATACGTAATAGACAAGCTATTGCTTGAACATGGGCATCAGATCTGGTATTGCGACTGCCGCCATATCATGTCAGTAAGACATCATTTAATTAAAAAATTCTTTTTAGGTTAGTCACAAAACGAAAATAAGTTGTTTCAACCGATTTTTCTTTAAATCCTTATTCTTTCCCAGAATAGTATCATATATTATAAAACAGAAAAAATATCTGCGAAGAATTTTGAAAGTGTCTGTAATACTCATCGAGATAGAATATGACAGATATAATATGTGACGGAAAAGTGTAATCAAAATGGCGACTTACGTACTTTTTGATTGATTTGAAGTCAATAATTTTGTATTTGAAGTTTAACGGAATGAAAATGTTTTTATATCATTTAAATGACGCTATTTGAAAAAAAATTACATTTATTCTCACCAAAACTGACTAGCTCCATTAGCTCGAGTTTGATACATGACGTAAAAGTGTAACGCAAAAGTGCGGACACCTCTCTCTATTCTATCCTCTTTGTTCTATCCCAATAGTAATAATACACAGTGAGCGATGTTTGACTTTCATAGCCATCCCCGATTAATTTCAATTTAGGTTTATACAATTTTTTCAGACTGCTAAATTCATAATACGAGATTGTTATGTGAAATGCTAGCAACGATTGTTCACTAGTTTTATTTGAATAATAAATGTATTTATATAATTACCTATACTTAGCATTTAGAAGAAGCCCCTCAAAACTAGGTAGTGGTTGGGGTTGTCAAAGATTATAATTTGTCGACCCTTTAAAATACGGAAATATACATGCAAAGCATAGTTGGCAGTTATTTATATGTATCCACGAGGGAAGTCTGATTAATCCGCATTCTATATTACCAGTCGATAAAAAAAAACAAAAAAGTTAAAAAGTTATAATTGGGGATCGAAATGTTTTGGATGTAAGGCAATGTAGGAACTTTTATAAAGAATAAAATTGTCTGAAGAAATTTCAATAAAAACCATTTTTCATTTATGTCCATATTTATGCTACACGGTATCGGCTACTGAATGTCTTCCAATACGCGATTCACAATTGCGAGTAAAGGCTACAGAGACTTGGAATTGGAGCGAGCGGAAAAGGAATGGTGTCCGCGTTGGCATTTATACGAACCGACCGCGTTGTAACGTTGGCCAGGCCGTATAGGCTGGCATCGCTGGTATTGTTCCTTTCCTGCTTCCCCTAATGCTGGCTCTTTGTAGTTTTCACACGCACTTGTGCCAAGGGATATTGGAAGATATTCGACGGCCAATACTGTATATTATAGTTACATCGAAACAAGAACAGTACAGATTTATCAGTAAACGACCAGCTACATTACAATCCCAACTTGATATCCAGTGAATATTCCCATTTTTGAACGTAATTTACAATTTTACGGCAAATACAAATATGTATTTGTTTTATTTAAAAAATGCACATAGGTGCAGACGATAAAAATTGTGAAACACCTTCTTTATCATATATAGTGATTTTACTTTTGTTTTTGTGAGTTTTACCTTAAAAGCCTAAGAATTTATCAGACCTACCTCGTACTTACAAATAAATAAACATTTATAAAACAAATAAATTTACTCTACTTTGGCACAATTCTTTAATTTTATTTAATATTACCTTAATACCACAGAATTTCAAAAAACTATATCTAAAAATCTAAGAACTACTATAAATAAGAAAAGTTTCGGCACATCTAGGTATATAGATACAATGTGAAAATATACTTTGAAATATCATTACCTGGAAAATTTACAAATTTTACATTTTCATTTTCAAATTTGAATTATTTGAAAACGATAGCTGCACAGTCAATAAAAAGTGGTTTCAAAGATTTGTATTAGCTAGTAATTTTGTCGTTGCCATTTACAAAGCAGACATTCTATGTTTATTAGTGTATCTCGGAAACCAGTTTTTTATAATTAGTCTTCAACAATACCCGTAGCTCACGTGATCTGATAAGGCAAGTTTAATGAAAATCTCCGTTATTCGGAACTTTTATGACAACTTAAGTATCAGTTCTCTAATAGGTCAACGGCATTGCTTTAGAGTTACTACTGAAAATTGGAGTGTAACTTTCAGCCAATTAGGTAAGAGATATCAGCATTAGAAAGTTGAAATGATGCTGTGAACGTCAACGTATACTGGAAAATTGACAGCTACACATGGACTTCCGATTCGGACATCGTCGTGGCAACATTGAAATGGCGGTCTCCGAATCGGGAGCCCTGAAGTCCAATAATAATCACTAAATATCTAGTGTAAAAGTGACCATCCGACTTTAAAAATAATACTAAATTAAATAAAATATTCTGTGCCAAGAATACAGAATATTTAAACTAATTATCAAGTGCAATGGAAGAGTGAGGACAGAAGTCCGACGCACGAGGGTGCAGCTTTTCCACTTAACAAAATTTGAAAAAATAACTTAACCTGGGTGAATAGTCCTCGGATTAAGCCCACAATCACATAGAAGAAGAAGACAGCTACACATGCGTATTCAAGTGTATTTCACGTTCACGTCTACGTACCCATATACGTAAGCTAACGAGCGTTGGCTTAGGCACATATCGCAAACCAAATATGTAATCTATCATCATCGTTGGACGTGTAACATCTGCCATGTGAATTTTTTTTAAATTGCTTTTATTGGCTTAATGTTTGCAGGCTTGGTCATTTTATAGGACAATAATTCCTGCTATGTGATTTAAACCTATCTTTGAACGCATAAATATATATTCAAATCAGTTATGCGAGTCCAAAAAAATTGTAACCTCGTCAGCACATGGCAGATGTTACACGCCCAACAACGCTATTTTTTAAGAAAGAAAATTCTAATGAATTGTCACGGCACGTAAATGTCACGACGCGTTTAACAACTTCAACTCATATTTAGGACTTCAACGTAAACGTTAGTTTTGTGCGTTTACGTTAACGTACTGCAAAAAATACAACTCTTTGGTGTTTAGTACTCTATATATCTCTACTCATATGATTTTGCAGTATACATTCTAAACATCATAATCTGTTGATAGACAAAATCCAGTGAGACTAGCAATCGTAAGATCTGTGATTTTGGGGTAGATACATATAGATATTCCACGTCACTAAGTCCTAGACTAACTGGCAGCTACCAGCACTTTCTTATAGTTAAATAGGTAAATCTATAATCATTTGTTTCAAATAATGTACCTTTATATTCTTAAATGAAGTAATAAACTTTAAAAGGTTTGACCACAATTCAACAAACTTACTAAGTAGATTTTTAGTATTTCTTTTTTAAATAAAATAAGTCAACCAATTACATTGGTCTTAAATCAAAAGGTATGCCTACAATCGAAAAATACAATATTTATTAAATGTAACTAGATACCTAAATACTATAAAAAAGTATATCATAGAGTAATAAATATCACAAAAAAATTAGGGAAACTTTAACTTACTGGGATCGGGATACTCAGGAATTTCAATAGACCCTTTTCCGAATTTCAATTCTAGAAAATCACGAATATTATTAGGACTCGGCACATTCCTGCCTACAAAATCTATACTAGACATTGGATGAAGAAAATTTTCAGGAAATTCCATATTTTTATGAGTAGTATACCAAGAATCCCTAGCCATAGTACCGTTTTTAGAATAAAAAGGAAACAAATTGACATGAATCTTATTTGTTTTACTAAAATGTACACGGTAAAAGTTTCCTTCAGTAGCTTTTTCCCAAAGAAACCCTTTTGTATCGACAACCGATCTAGATTTAGCTTTTTTCAACCACTCACATCTGTTAAGATCCTCCCTAATAAATCCTATATCTACATCATGGTCCCATGGTAAAATATCGCCACTCCTCATAGCTCCCAACAAGCTACCAGCTTCTAACCAATACCTTATCCCACTTTCTTCCAAAATACCGAAAACATGCTTAGCTGTTTTTCTTAAATTCGATATACAACATGGTGGTGTCCATCTCTTATCATACAGATAAGAAGGCATTGAATCTAAGACAGTTCCAAAACATCTGGAAGTTTCTTTACTACAACCATACCATTCTGTGAGTCCAGTTTCTCTCTTGACTTGTTTGATTTTAAAAATGTTGTATAGTTTCTTTATTCTTAAAGCTTCTGTTTGCTTCTGCTTCCACTGAGCATGGTGAGATCGAAACAGAGGTTTGCCTTCATGGAAAGATAAACCTTTTATGATATTGACCTAAAAATGATGTTATTTGTATTTACATAAACTGGGGTTACTATACAGGATGTCCACAAATACTGGTCAATATTTAGGGAGTGTATACTGACAAAAATAACACTTTCTTTGTAAACGCACCATTTAGGAGTTATTCGTAGTGAAAGGTTAGGTTACGGCGTTTACTATTATAGACTTTTTGTTAAAAACTTACCCTTAGTTTCGCTTTTTGCACGTACTATACACTCACAAAATATATTTCAGAATTTTTAGGGCACCGTGCAGGTCTAAATAGTCTGAATTTCAAAATCAAGTAACATACCTATTAAGCATAAACACCAAACATGCTGCACTACAAAAAGTCACTAAAATATTACTTTCCTGCTGCCTGCGATACTTTAAATACAAAAAAGACAATTATCAGATTTAAACAATCATAAAAATATCTAAAGAAATACTCATTAAATTGAAAAATTAAATGATAGGGCGATTGTTTGCAAAATGTACATGTAGAAAAGGTAAATTCACCACATCATTATCCTAAATACCTAACTTCAATAAATTAATTTTGTATATTGCAAAGTCAGTCTATTTTTTTTTTTATTTATTATGTAATTTATTATGTAATTCATTGAATTATTTTGTATCTGTAAAGTATGGAGGTGGGTTGGCCCCACAGCACTTAGCCTCACTAGGTCTATAATATTGTGCATCCTCCTAAATTGATATGCCCCTTTTAGCTCCTCAGCCAGTCTGTAGATTTGATATAATTGATGTTGCTGAAAGATGCCTCTCTTATATCGGCAGGTGTTAGCCAATACTCGCTGTACACAAATCTGCTAATAGATGAGAGCGTTGGGCAATCGTAGAGGATATGTTCGTAAATTGTATCTTCTTGTTCACACCCCCTGCAGAGTACAGGGTCTGACAGTCCCATGCTATGGAGGTGTTTCCGTATTTGAGAATGACCATTCAAAATGCCTGTGATTAAACACAGATTCGGTTTGGTCAAGTACTTGTTTGCTGTAGTGTTGTCAAGGTAACTTAAAAGCTCCCTGGCAATTCTGTAGCTTCTTGTTTAATCCCACCTTTCCTTGAATTTCACAAGGGAATGTTTTTAATTAAGTTCGTTATGGCCGGTGTTGTTAGTCCAATAGAAGGGCTAGGACCAAAAAGTATTTGGTTGGTTGCCTTATTGGTTAGTGAATCGACGATTACTTGTGAACGTCTCGTGGCCTTTGATTCATCTTAAGATGACCCCAATGAATTACTAATAAAATTCATTTTCAAATAAGCAGTCACACTTAAATCAAATAACAAGTTTTGTTCACAGAGGATAGGATTAAGATCAAGCGTACCTGTTCATATTGCTGAGTTTCATTTTCCTTACTTATTGTTATATTTTCATATATTAAAGAGATATTGCAAATTTCTATGACATCAGCCACTAATAGTGACGACGTAATTAAATAAATTCCATGCTTACTGCAAACCTGAAATTTTGACAATAGAGTCCTTGTCCTTATACAAATTTCTATCCTCATTTTAAAAATTTTAAATTACAGTTCATCTTTTTTGTTTATAATAGTACATAATATGGAAGAGGCATTAGAAATTACCTTTTAAGAAGGTATAGATGACGATGATATTAAATATTTAATATTAAAAAATTTCGAACTGAATGTTGGCGAGCGCACCCGAAAGCTATAAAGTCGCCACTAACTGCTGTCCTTAAGCTAATAATAATAATAATAATACTCTCCCTAATTCACCCCATTGCGAGTGAATTTTAACCCCAAAAGCTTAGCTTGTCCGGGGAAAGGACGGCTATTATTATTATTTACCGTGGCGCTCCGGAGCGACTTAAAGATGATTAATGGTGCCATTCGACTTACAGGTGAGGAAAACCCCACCCACCATCATCGAAAACGGTAACGCATGGTGATTTTTAATAATCTGAATGTCATATCAACAGAAATTAAATTTCTGCTAATACGGCATCCATCAAATCCTATAGAGAACCATGCAAATAAATGCACATGGTCTTCCGTAGGATTCGAAACCGTGTCTCGTTTACCAGAAAATTGGCTCGCAAATGAATGCGACGCCGTAGACACCTGCGCTACTGTAGTCGATAAAGGACAGGTACAATCTTTATTAAAGTCAGTTCTAGAATATAAGTGATCTGCGCATGCTCAGATGTCAAAATAAGAGAGGCACTAATAGTGACTGACCTTAAGTGAACTTGCAATAACTCTCTATTATCTGTTTGTTGGGTGTATGGCTCGTTTACACAATGTGATTTGGCCTGTGAGTTGATAACCCCAGTCACTATTCGAGGGGAATAAGGCGAGTGGGTTAACAACTGGCATGTGAGTTACTTCAACAATTTTTGTTTTACTTGCCACTGGCATCTTCCAACCACGTTCGCAGCCAGTTTACATCATCTGAACACAATGGTCACAAGAGCCAAGTCAGAAACCTGAAGAGTTTGTGAATCACAAGCTAGCTAACTAGCCTTGTGTAAATGGACCAGCAGTGCGACCTCTTTTCATATGAATTTGCCATGGTCAGCTACTATCTGCTTGCTAATCAGCTTATCTTAATGCACTTTTAGTTTGTTTCAATGGACCAACACGGTCTTGCTCAGTTCAAATGGAAGATCATCCTCGTAACCTTGAGACCGTTCATGAATTAGTTTCTATATAAATTCCAACAAGAACTGCTTAGACCTTTCCTAGTCTAAGGCTTAGGCTAATATGTGCCTTTAAAAATTCATCAGCTGACAATACATACTTCAAAATGCTATATTAGTGATGATTTAATTTGTGTTCCAATGACATAAATAGAGGTCATAGGTAATCATTAAGATTTTAGTTCTTTTTTCAAGATTATATTCATTTAAACATTAAAAATTATTTGATAACATACCATTAAACTACTTTTTTACAGACAGCAAACAATATAAAAAAGAACTAAAAACTTATAGATATGTTAATTTCAATGACAGAATGGTTTGTTTTTGTTTAAGTCAACTGTCATTAGAACACACATTATGCCACACTAACACAGCATAGACCTTTTCCTTTGCATCAAAAGTGTAGCACTGAGCTATGCCACTTCTGAAAATATCGTTCCATGTAAACAAATTGTATGAATGGAATATTTTCAGAAGTTGTGCAACTTAGTGCTATACTTTCAACGCTAGAAAATAGACCTAATATAAGTATACAGCTAACTATTGTACTGGGTGATGATGATGATGATATAAGTTTTTAATCACAACCGCTGAACTAAAATAATGTTACAATAAGGAAAAACACAACAGCACACATTCACTAATGTTCCAACTAGTGTTTACTTTTGTACTGTCAAAGAACCGTATTAATTAGCCCCTGTACATTGAATTGGATTCAAATAATTTTGTGACCATTCAATGAATGGTACAAAAGTCTTATATTAGAACAAAACTTATATTTACTACCTATAACAGTGCCCATCAGATGAAAAAGACTATATGCGATTATCTTAAGTCTATTAAATGATGTAAAACAATTTTTGTCTTCTTTTTAAGTTATTGTAATTTTTTAAATTGGTACCTTGTATATTAAAATTAGTTTAATACAATGATCCACATACATGCAAAGATGCCCAACTTTATACTGATGCATGTTTTATCACAAACTATTACAGCTAAACACTAAAAATAACATTAAAGGAATTGAAAGGAAATACTAAAATCTACTGTTCTATCTCACTGTCAAATGCTTGAGATCAAAACACATTGAAACACTAAATTCAAACAAACCTTCAAGTCGAGTGAGGCCGTTTGAAGATACAATGAATGGGGAAATGGAAGTAAAAAAGCATTAGAAACCTTCTTCAATGTCTCAGTTTCCAAGAGCATAACGTGTTTTCCAGAAACACCATCACAAATCATACTTTTAATAAGATCATATTTTAATGTCCACTCTCTGAGGTTTATATTCATTCTCAAACAACTCAAATTATTTTTATGATTATTTACAACAGTGACGACTATACTTCCTGGATTTGAAGACAACTTTTGAACCATAGTTTGTAAACTCTGCCTTGAAGTTAATCTAGTGGAGTCTGGTACAATTAAAACGTACTTAGTCCTTATTTTGCTTATTGGGTAACTATCAGCAAAGTTTGTTCTTAACTCTGGAGATAGCTTTACAAATTTTATATTTGGAGAAGTATTATTATTCAGCATAATATCTGGAGGAGGATACGGAAGCTCATCATATATTATAAATAACTCCATTGTAGCAAACAGATTTACAAAAGAATGTGAGGTTAATGTAATATCATTTTCATGCTGCTCAAACTCCCTTATAAGGACAGTAACCAATTCACTTATTTTTTTTCGAGGAGGCTTCGTTAATGTTGGTTTCACTAGTTTCTCCTCTATAGTCGATTCTATTAGGCCAGAAATTAAACGAGTGAAATAACAAAACACTAATATTTTAGTTAGAATAAGCAAAAACAAAAAGATGAATGATTTGTACGACTTTAAGCGCATAATAACTTACTGTCGGTTTTCAAGTTTTATTCTTTATAAAAGTCATTTTCAAAAACTATTATTTCTAGGATGATTTTTGTAAAATAAAACACCCCATAACCCATATTTCATGCTGTCAAAATTAAAAATATAACATTGTCAAAGTCAACTGTCAACATCAAAATCTTCTTTTAAAGTGATCTAGAAAATAAAGACCCACGAAACATCCGGTCCTTGGTTATTTAAGCGTTCTGCTTCTAAATGTGTTTGCCAAGAGAACTCAATTTTTTTTTTTAATTTTTAATAAGTAAAGTTAAAAATATGGTATTAGATTAAAAAATTAGACTTTTCTTTAATTTGTTTCAAATAGCAATATATTTATTCTCTATTCTATCCCACTATCCCAAGTATAATGTCCTCTGGATCGTTATAAGTACAAACAGACAACGTTATAGAGTTAATAAACAAACATACACAAATATACATACCAATACGGACTTTATTAGTCTAATAACCACTGGGAGGTAAGATAACTAATAAGGAAATTGTGAATATACATTTTTGAACCTCGAAAATATCATCATCTTATACCGGGTGTTCAACTTAAAGCGTTACAGCTATATACCGCTTTTTTAAAAAAAAGTTTTATAGTTTTGTGGGGAAAAACTTTTGGCTAAAATCGTTTTTTATAGCTAACCATAATATGGCCAACTTTTTTTTCGCGCAGCAACATTTTCAAGTAGCTGCCCAGACAGCACACCAAATCCTTTGGATATCTACTGAACATCCCAATATCCACTGAATGTCCAGTCCATGGTGGATATCTATTTTATATCCATGAAATGTAATTTATAGACATGCAAATGTCCATAAATAATTGTAATTATATAGCAAATTATTAAAAAATTACGCCATTGTACTCGCCATTGTGGCTAATAGTACCGTTGAGATATTTAATATTATTTATTTTAAGGTGTATTCAATATCCCATGGACATCCACTATAAATATAAATATATCAAAGTCTAAGCGCGGACGCAAACCATCGTGGATATCTACTAGATGTAATTTTTGATTTTGCTTCCTAAGTATAGATGGCGATACCACTTTCGTATCTACTCATGCTTAACCCGCCGTAATTGAGTTTGATCGACATTGTTTCACAAACAGACTTCATTAGAGACTGAAGTCGAGAAGTTCAATTTATTGCTGAAGATTCCTAGTAAGGATGATTTTCTCCTTAGTAGGCAAAATCAAAGGCAGATTGTTGGGAATATTTTTTACCTCTATTTTCTTTCGACGTTATTCAATAACCATTGGTTACTTATGAACCTCTACTAAAAATAATTATAAAATATTTATCTGAATTTCTATATCCTGGGATATAGACGGACATTTGGTTGGATATCCACAAAATATATTCTATGGATATATCTGGGATTTCTTGTATTGTCTGGAGATACTCATTAGATATTTTGCTGAATATCCATAGGATATCTTCTATATTCTGGATATAGACGGACATTTGGATATCCATATTAGTTCCACGGAATATTTCTGATATCCTGTGGATATATTGGATATCCACAAAATATATTCTGTGGATATCTCTGGGATTTGGTGTGTTGTCTGGGTGTTACTCAAAAAGTAAAAGTCCAATAAAAAAAATATTTCCCTCAAGTTTCTTATTTTTTTATGTACTTTAAGAATATGTAAGAAAAAAATGGGATTCCCATTTAAAAAAACAAAGTCCACCTCGATATGGCCATATTATGGCCAACTACAAAAAAATTAATTTAGCCAAAATATTTCCTCCAAAAAACTATAAAACTTTTGTCTGAAACTTTTTTTTCTAAAATGCATATTTTCGGTGGTATTTGACTGTAACACTTTAAAATGAACACCCGGTATACATATGACTTTTGACCTCCAGTAAATTAGATTCATGATCCATAATTATCGGGTCGGTGGTATAGCGGTCTCATCACGTGCTTATATTCATTTATAGGCAAGTTTGTGGTCAGAGACAGATGGGTTTCGAATCCTACACCGGACCATGTGGATTTTTAATTAAATTGCATGGTTCGATATGGGATTTGATGTGTGCCGTATTAATAGAAATTCAATTCAATTCGTAAAACTAAAAAAAAAGGAGGGTACCTACCTAGTGAAATCCATATTCTTTGCGTTTATAGAATATAAAAATAAACCACTCTACATTTTGTAATGTGTCTAAAAGGGGATTTTTAAGTATTTTGAGAATGTTACTTTCATTTAACTGACATCATCGTCTGGTTTTGTCCTACGATTACACACTGCAATCTACATAATTTCAGCTTGGCTAAAGCTCGTTACATAGTTACAGTTGTCGAAGTTAAATAATATTAAAATATTTATAATATATGGCTTTTGGGTAGGGATAACAGCGGCAATGTAAGCTCACAGAAACTCGATGGCTTGAAGCTTGAGTTAAGTCAATGGGTTATATGAAAAATATGTAAAAGTTGACCTATATATATTTAAAAGGAATTGGGCATTTGTGCTTGTCCATCGTGACCTTTTTAAATTTAACGTGGAATGTAATTTTGACCTAACTGAATATCAGAAATAAAAATTATTTGTAATAGCTAAATTATTTTGGGTTCTAATTAACAGTGCTGTTCCTAAAGTGGCGCTGGGAAACAGTAACAAAGCCTACACAGAACACGAGGCTGATGGCCTTAGGACCGATTCCACCGTTGTGTTAAACGGAGATTAAAATGACATTGTTAATGTAAAAATGTCATTTTAAACTTCGTTTAACACAACGGTGGAATCGGTCCTTAGTAGTCGAAGCCGATGACACCAAATTAAAAAAAAATAGCTAAATTTTTAAGCATAAATAAAAACTGAATATTTTCATTAGCAGATCTTGTTTATTTATCTTTAATAACGAAATTATATTATCTAAATTCCTAATTATAAGTTCCAATTACTGCTACCTGTAGTGTTTTAAAAATAGCGTTATTTAAGTTTCTACTTCCAAAATAAATCGTGGTTGGGGCAAGGGCGGCTTCAAAAATAATTTTCGGGGGGAAGGCATTGCCTTTAGTCATTCCCTCTTTAGCATATTTTTTTAAATAAAAGACCCATAAATCGTAAGAATTTTCACCTGAGGGGAGAGCATGCCCCCCCCCCCCCCCCCCTCTGGAGCCGCCCTTGGGTTGTGGAACCTTTGGAGAGGTCGCGGTTGCTTTTGAAGTCCAATTTTATTAAAGCGTTATTCCCATCTCTAAGCTTTAGGCAACAGACAACCGAATCGACAACTTATATGGTGGTGGTGGTTGATGGTTGGTACAGCCTCTGAGGGGACCTATTTTCAAAGTATGTGAGCACTCATTTCTCTCAAGATTCTCATCAGAAATGTCATACGTCAATGTGGAAACGCTGTATTTAAAGACATCGAGGATTAAAATTCTTAGGAGGATATTAATTATCTCTAAATAAACCGTGAGAAACAATCAGTGAGTTCACACTGGCCCTTAGGACCCTAAAAATTACTGTTTTACGGTGACGTATGACATTTCTCTCGAGAGAAATGTCATACGTCAACGTAAAACAGTATTTTTAGGGTCCTAAGGGCCAGTGTAAACTTACTGATTGTTTCTCACGGTTTATTTAGAGATAATTAATATCCTCCTAAGAATTTTAATCCTCGAGGCCTTTAAAAACAGCGTTTCCACATTGGCGTATGACATTTCTGATGAGAATCTTGAGAGAAATGAGTACTCACACGGTTTGAAAATAGGTCCCCTGGGGGGCTATTTTCAAACTCGAGACCCCTTACAAGCTCTTAGAACACATACCCGTGGTCGAAAACAGCTGAAATTGGGCGGTAACTAAAAACAAATAATATGAAGAACTGTAAATTCTTTTTTTTTGTTTTTAATAAAGTGCAAACCCTTAAATAAAGCTGTTGTTACGAACTTAAGAGAAAACAAGGAAATTCCTTTAATCAGTCGTAAAAATTTAGGAACATTTTTATGGGCCTAAGGTTTCGTTTGGTTACACGGTGTAAGAAATCAGTTTTAATTCAGAGGTCAGATCTACTGTCCTGGCGACGGCGTTATTTACGAAGTATTACAAAGTTTAGAGCCATTAAAAACATACATTTGTTGGTAGTTGAACGTCTTTGACCCCATTTCTCTCTTATATTTATAGAGCGGAGTAACCTTCAAAAAAGGGGTCTATTCTGTAACAATTCCTTTATATTTAACGCCGTTTAAAAATATTTTATTCTTTACTTCTGTCATTATTTAAACGAATATTTAAAATACATTAGAGGACTATCTTAAAGAAATCTGTTTAAATAATGACAGAAGTAAATTAACGAATACGAACATATGTTTAAAGGCCGACAATATTTTTAAAGGCCGTTAAATATAAAGGAATTTTTACAGAATAGACCCCAAAAATTTACTTCTGTCATTATTTAAACGGATTTCTTTAAAATAGTCCTCTAATGTATTTTAAAGAAATCCGTTTAAATAATGACAGAAGTAATTTAGTAAATACGAAAATATTTTTAAAGGCCTCCAATATTTTAACAGCCGTTAAAATATAAAGGAATTGTTACAGATTAGACCCCAAAGTCGTTTATGTCAATTTTAACTAACTGCTACTATTGCTAGTCTGATATGAGATGCCACCTGTGGCCTGCATGGCAAAACCGCACATGAAGATCTGCACCAAAGGGACAATCGATTCTGTAAGATGGAAGACGAAACAGAGCTTATATGTCGCTTATTGATGCTAAAATTGCCAAACTCCATTTTTCCGTGTTTTGAGAAATGAAGCTCTAAACTTCCTATAGCCTCTTAATCTTGAATTGCTATCCCGTTAAAAATCTCTTCTACATGACTTACTACAAGATTTTTCGGTCTATAACTAGAAAATGACAACGACCGAAAATGAAATACTTTAAATATTTGGGTTCATAGCAAGCAAGCCTCACAAAATACAACCATAAACGTATCATTAGACTTATGGTAGGTGCATTACTTATTTTTATATATATATGGGCCATATAATGTGGCCCATATTAGATCCATCTATATAGATGGACCAATGGTCCATCCCATATTTTGATGGGTTCATATGGGTCGCATTTGACAGGTGACTTATTGATTTTGTCCCTATCAAAAAATAAAATTTAAACAAACCGTGATATAAATCTAAAAAGTTGTTTTGTAGCTAGTCTTCACGTCTTCACGTGGATGTAAAGTCAAAATGATTACAAAAATAAGTTATATTTTTGTTGTGGCATTGAAAAAATTGTTGCTACCGGGCATTGGCAACAGTGGGTTCGTATGTAGCATCAATCAGCTGTTGTTGACATTTCCAAAGCTCGTTTTGTGTAGTCACATAATTTTTGTCAACAAAGACCATTTTTGGTGGATGATTTTTACACCTAAATGAAAATGGCCATGCCATCCATTAATCCTATTAATTATGTCATCGAGAGACAGTATAAAGACAATATTTTTATAAAAAATAAATTAAATAGTGCTCGATTGTCGAAAGCCAAGAATTTGTATAGAAAAGATTTACTTGCACATTATGGGTGTGTGAATGCTATAGAATTTTCCCTTGATGGGGAATATTTGGTGTCTGGTAAGTCTTATTTTTATATAATCGACAATGTGGATCTTTTATTTCTCTTACTATACATGCAATCAGTATTTATTTCTTTTTACTTTAAAAGGTGGTGATGATAAGAGAGTTCTTCTTTGGTATGTACCTAGTGTCATGTATGATAGGGGTTCACCCATTGCCATGTGTACATCCCATCGGAGTAACATATTTTGCTTGACTTTCGATTCTGGCGTTGAAAAAATCTTCTCTGGGGGTAATGATGATCAAGTTCTTGTCCATCAAATAGAAAGGTAAGAAAAATATTTAAAATTCCCTAAAATATTTTTGTTATTTTAAACCTACAGTAAGATAAATATATTTTACTTTAAATTAATTAAATACATAAGTATATAAAGTTTTTTTAAATCAATATTAAATAGTATCTGCTCCTTAATTAGGTAGGTAAATAATTTTTTTATAAAAATGATTTCATGAATGTAATTATTTATTTATAAATTTATTTGCAATATCTAGAATTCCCAAACTAAGTAGCGTATCAATATTTTGATCATTCTAATTATTTTTAATAATTAATAAAGTTTTTGTAAATCTGTAAATGTATTATTGTATAAGTTTTCTAATTGATAATAATCTAAGTAACTCCATTAGTATTATAATGAATGTAGACTTTACATTTGTAAATGAATGAACATTTAAAAAATACATTTAGAACATTAATAGTGATTTTTCAGAAGCATCTTCAAAATGTTCAAAGTTCATCTCCATTTGTGGATGTTCAATAATCTTGCATATTTTTAATTTAGGACTGACATTGACCATCTACTTAACAAATAGTGTTTTTATAATAGGTCAAGCACAATTCTTTTCAAATACTTTTCAATTTTTAGTTTATTAAAAAATTAATATGTATATTTTAGCCGTACTTTAAGAACTGCTATTCCTCATGATAAGCCTGTTTATGGTATAAATATACATCCCCAAAATGATAATATCATTGCTACTGCAGGAGAAGATGGTCGAATTTTACTATTTGATATCAGAGAAGTTCCAAACCAAGGTAATTGTTTAATAATGTAAAGTATTTCATACTTATTAAATATTCATATTAGGTATAGGCACTGCCATATAATTAATAATCAAATAAATGTCAGTGTAAACACAAGCTTATTTACTGCCACCCTTAATTATCAATGTATTAATAGTGTATGTAGTTTATGGTTCTAAAAGAGTACTTGGTATGAAGTAAACGATAAGAATGAATGTTCTTATTTTATTTGTTCTATTTTAAACTCATGAAGAGTTGAAGTTTTTTTATACTTTATCATCAATGAATTGTATCTTTCTATTGAAAATTTTTGCTGAAATTAATCTTTTTTTTAAATCCAGTCACAAATTACAATCTTTTAACACAGAACTTGCAGGAGATAACCAACTGGTTTACTAATATGTAATCCATTGGCAAACACATTATCAAACTTCAGTATACCTACCCTGAATGGTGTAAGACCAATACAACACCTATAAATCTTCATGAAAACAATTTAGGAATTATTGTCACTAGCAACCTTGGCTGATCTGAGAACATTAACCAAATTTTATTTGTTAATGTTAATGCAAATGAAGTAAAAGGAATAAATGAATGTTCTTATTTTATTTGTTCTATTTTAAACTCATCAGGAGTTGAGATTTCAATATGTGATTTTCTATTTAAATTTTTTTTAAAAAGAACCATGGAGACTACCTATACTTTTAGTTAGAGGTGAGGGTAGCCATATGTGTAAGTTATAGGTATAGAGTAAGGGTGGTGGAAGAAAAGTCCTTTACTTTAATCAGCCATTATCTGATTAAATAACTATACCTATACTTTGTATCATTCTGGGATGTCCACTAGTCAGCAAGAGCAGTTGATAACTTGATATGTTCTGGTCAATACTCAATGGAAAGCTTGGCATCAGGGGGCATAAAGTAAAGCATTTGCTGTTATCTTTACACTAACGTTTTAAAATAACACATCTGTATTCACATCATGTTTAAATAAATAACTACAGGATGTCATCGAAAGGGGGGTAAAATATTCGGGGGTGGTAGTATTCATAAAAATAGAAAAAAATGTTTATATTAACATGTGTCCGAAAATGTATATTGAGGGAGATATGGACATTAAAGCTCACGAATTATTTTTCCTGTATACAGAGTAAGTTCCTTTTCATTAGATATGCAATAAAATTTTATCAAATGAATTTTTTTCCATGAATACAAAAAATATTAATTATTTAATTTCTGTATATCTAACATATGAGTGCAGCAATATTTGTATATCCAGTTTTCTCAAAAAACTATTGCTCCATTAGATTGTTACAACAGTACCTTTTTGGGTCAAATGAACAGTTTTGGAAATTGTATTCAGGTTCTACAGAAAATTAATAACAAAAAAGGTATAGATAAAAATTGCCCCAACCCTACCACTACCACTTTTGATTGAGCTATTAATTTTTTGACATAGCCAGCAGATTTAGGAACAAAATCTATACCAGTTTCGAAATTTTGATAAAATGTTGTTTTTGTAAGGGTGTTAAAAGAAATTATTTTCAAAATTTACATTTCCAAAGCCTATATTATCTTCCTCAATGTGCATTTTCGGACACATGTTCATGTTAGGTGCACACAGCATATCGCAGAAAATATAGACAAACTGATGTGTATACATACTTTTCAAAGGCGTTTGATAGACTTGATCATGGGATGCTCATAAACAATCTTATCGGTTACAGCTTGTCAGAGTCTTTCATAAAACTGTTCCGTTCATATTTAGAAAATCATCGACAGTAAACGGTTTTAAGTCTATAGAATACTTTGCAACGTCTGGGGTGCCGTAAGGATCTGTCCTTGACCTTTGCTTTTTATTATATTCATAAACGACATCTCCACGAAGCATTGATATAAATTGTCTTTTATATGCGCATGATTTGAAAATTTTCAGTTCAATTTCTTCCAGAGCTGACTGTGAACGTATGCATAATAACATAAAGGTAATTGAAACTTGGTATCACTTAAACCTTTTCTCTTTTTAAATGCATCAAAATGTTTTATTATGTCATTTGCATTAAAATCGAATATTATTTTATTCAACTACGAGATAAACAAGTCATCTCTACAAAGGCCTGAACATTTTGTCGATCTTAGTGTAACTTTTGATCCAAACCTCTCATTTATATAACACATTGAAAATATTGTATCTGCTGTATCAAAAATGTATGGATTTGTATTACATGTTAGTAAGGAGTATTCAGATACAGAAACTCTTAAAATGCTGTATTTTTATTTGTTCGGTCTAAACTTGAGTACGCTTCCATAATTTGGAACCCCCATTACCAAACTCATCGGGACAAGTTAGAATCAGTTCAGCGGAGGTTCTCAAAATTCATTTGCTTCAAGTTTGATGGCGTTTATCCGGAAATAGGTACACCTCATAAATATATAACTTCATTGATCTTGAGGCGAAATTGTCATCAGATAATTTTCATACACAAATTAATACATAACAAAATTCATTGCGAACAATAATTAGAAAAACTTGCTTTTAACGTTCCGAGAACTACTAGAAGGTCGCAGTCTACTTTCTATCTCCCATCAGCAAGAACCAATGTTTTAAAATCATCACCACTACATAGATATATTTAATTGTGGTGTTTATAGTATTAAGACTGCAGTTTTTAAATCCGTATAGTGTTTACCTATTCTTACTTATGTTTTCGTAATTATTTTTGTCAAAATTTCCTGCTCTGTAATTGGAATTGCCTGTTGAGCAGTATAATAAATAAATAAAATAAACATTTTTCATGTTTTTATGAGTACTACCAACCCTCGGAATATTTTATCCTTTTTCGATGATACCCTGTATATAGAATTGCTTATACATCAATTCAGAGAAAAAGTAGAGTTGGACCTATGTGTTAAACCTTAAAGATTGAAACATCAAATCAGAGAAAAAGAGTTGCACGATCGCGGAAATACTGAATCGTTACTGTAATTACTATGTTTACATAAACAAAAAATATTCTATATTTTTTGGGAAAACATTAAGAAAAACATGTAAAAAATTAGATTCTTGTAAATTAGTCTAATACAAATTTATAACAATTAATGATGTTATAATACTTTGTTATAATATAAATATTTCAATTAAGTATAAAATAAAGATTTAAATTTTCTTTTTTTTTATTAGAAGTTCAAGTAGTCGCACAAGAAAATAGTGGATTTCATTCCGTTATGTTTAATCCTATGAAACCCCGATATATTGTAACTGCCAATTCTGAAGAAGGCATTGGTCTTTGGGATTGTAGAAAACCAAAAAGGTAAGCTTCCTCAAAATTAAAATGATTTAGCTGTACTCCATTTGTATTGCTTCTTTTTTTGTAAAAGCTTTGTTTTATTTTTATTTTAGCCAATTGATGCGTTACGATTCTTTAAGTGGTAAAACTAGCGGTATTAGTGCCTGTTTCGATTGTACGGGTAAGAAAGTTCTAGCGCTGAGACGACGTCTGCCGCCCGTTTTGTATATGGCCGAATCCGAGAACGCCCTTTGTCAGTTCTACCATCCCCAGTACTACAATTCGTGCACCATGAAAACATGTTGTTTCGCTGGCGAAAACGGTGAATACATCCTCAGCGGGTCTGACGATTTTAATATTTATATGTGGAAAATGCCTACAGATGAAAGTAAGATATGTTTTCAGTTTTTTATTTGTAGATAGCTATAGAACAAAGTTCAGTGGCGCGTTCCAAAACTTACATGAGGGTTGGGGTAAAAAAATGAATGTGACATTTCTCCACTATGACTTTCGAAACACATGAAGGTTTCACTTGTATAAAATGTCTATGTATTATTATTTTTCTCCGCTGTACACTAATTTAATAGAATATAATGTATTTATTTATTTAGCAAAAATATACAATATTTTAGATTACACCATATTTAAAAAATACAGTTTTCTTAACCTAGATTTAAAAGTTTTGATATTAGATGAAATTTTAATAATTAGAGGCATACTGATATAGACCTTTAACTTTTCCACAAATAACATTTTTTCCATGGCTCAGTTGTATTAAATCTTTAAATGTTATAATGATCACTATTTCCTAAATTATACTCAAACATGGCTGATCTTTTGACAAGAAAATCACTTAGTTAAGGTGGAGCTTGTTGGTTAATGATTTTATAAATCAATACCACTGTATATACAGGGTGTTTCACTATAAAGTACTGTAAACAGGAGAACTTGTAGATTTTAACTAATTAATAAAAAAAGCTAAATATAATTTTCCTGTAAACGTCCCAATTTTCATTCTACACGGTGATAAAATGAATTTCATGAATACATAATTTTACAATGTATCATCTTCTCTTACTATAATTTATCAATTTTATCATGAAGTGTCTTCAAGAATTAATTCATGAAAATATCGTCAGATGTAAAGCACTCAGTAAATATTTAAAGGATGTGTCAGAATTTTGAGCTACTAAAATATATTTTTATTTTTTTTAATCATACCATTTTATTAAATTTAAAACTATATAACTCTTTTCTAGGTGAATGGGGTTCGTCTCATATGATTTTACGAGGTCATAGATCAATAGTGAATCAAGTTCGGTATAATGTCAATAATAATTTTATAGCCTCTTCTGGCGTTGAAAAAATGGTGAAGGTAAAATTTCTATTACTTTTTTTAAACTCTTATGCTATAATTATATATTTTTCTACAGCTTTGGAGTGCAGTACCCGTTGGAAATTGGAAAGGTTCGATTCTTAAGGAACACACAGAACCTATTAGAACCATTTACAGTCATGACGACTATATGAGTTTAGTGGGAAATAGTGAGGTGAGAAATGATTTATAAAATCAATGCAGATAATATGTTAGTTTAGGACTCTAATAATACGTTTTTTCTTTACCAACTTGTTAAAAATACAGTAAAATATTTTGTTTTCAGCGTATAAACCATGACTATAGTGACCAATCGACTTGCGAAGACTCAAAAATGATGGCTTTCTTTGATTCGCTTATCCAGCGAGAAATCGAAGGGTGGGATTCACAGACAGATGGTACTTTCTCAACTGACAGTGATAGTGATGATGAGGTAAATTAAAATCAACCTTTTGTTGGACATATACATCTAAAAAAACAAATGACTAAAAGCAGTCATTGTTATCTCTTATAAGTTCCTAATGATCATATTTGTTTCAGGATTGGTCCAAGCTGATTTCGAGAATTTTTAAGAACGGTAGATGTAATTCCGATGAGCCAAAGAAATTTCGATCCAATAGAATAACACAATTAATTTTTAAGAAGAAAAATACTTTAGCAAAGTTAGCTCATAGCAAATGTACAAGTTATAGAAGAAGGTGAGAGCATATACAGTGTGATTGAAAACGAAAAAAATGGCTTAATGTTTGTTTGGTCTTTGTTAAAGGTATCACCAAAAACTCCATAAACGGAAATCCTCTAAATCAAAATCCAGAAAGCACAATGGCTCACACAAAAAATCCCACAGGAAGTCATCAGAAAGAGATTCGTTGAGGAAACAGAAACGTGAAAGACCTTCAAAGTACTTCACTAGGTAGATTTTTAATTTCTTAATTTTGCCACAGACTTATTGTTTTTTCTTTTGATATTCTAAACCTTTTCATTGGTGTGAATGGGTCTGTATAATATAGGGGTCAAGCATGAGACAAGTACATCAGTTTATAAATATTAAAATTTAATCACAACAGGTGAGTTCTTTCCACTTTATCATAGTCTTCCTGAAAAGGTGATTTTAATTTATAATATTAAACAATAAACTTAAGTATAACAGATGTCTCCACACACAAAAAAAAAACAAATATTGAATAATAGAAAATGGATGTATGTTAACTATAAATAGGAATGAAATAAACCAAAGTGAAGTAAATACTAATTACCTATTATGAACTTTTTACCATAAATTCTGCAGCCAAATTCAACGATGGATATTTCTCTGGGAAACCTGATCACTCGCATTTTGGTAAATCATAGTTTCCTATAGAGTAAAATAGTCACCCATGAACGTGCAGTCAATAATGACATCTGCAGGCATCTTGCTCCTTAGCTCAGCGCACACTCCAAATGCAGTTGAATAGAGAATGTTCATATATGAGCTGTAAATTGAGTTCGCAACTCTTCTAGCGATTTGGAAAGTTTTAAGTTAGTTCGGCCTTGAATTTTAGTGCTCAATTTCAACTTTTTTTACTTTTTTTTTACATACCAATATTAAAAGCAATTTCTATCACTCCACTGCATAATTTAATTTCCATAGTACATGCAGTCACATTCGGCAGTTTGCAGTTCTATAAACTGCAGATGCTGTCGATATGATATGATATCGATGTATGGTACAAAAAATGTAAAAATCGCTAAATGATTATAATGAATAAAAAACTCATTGGCGCTTTTAATAATTTATTTTTAATATAAAAAACAGCGAATATTAAAAGTTTTATACAAAATTTAATATCTACAAAGTTTTTCAGAGACGATATTTGACAACATGTAAATATCGTCTCGTTAGGATTAAGGAGTAAAAATATGATAGACTCTTATTTTGGTGAGAGGAAACAGTATGTAAATATAGAGAAAAACAAGTCAGATCTAATTGAGATGGCTCTAGGGGTGCCTCAGGGCTCTGTGCTGGGACTGTCATTGTTTATTATCTTTATTAACGAAATTGATGATTTAACCAGCACAGAGGCCCAGAGGTACCTAAACTTTGCGGACGACACAAATGGAGTCGATATTGCTGAAATATTACTTTATTTAGTGGGAAGCCTGGATGAGATGCAGTAAAAAAAAAAGAATGGTTTGGACAAAACCCTCTTAGCCTTAATGAACAAAAGACACAAAGAATGTATTTTTCTATGAAGCCTATATATGTGCCCAACTTGAGACTGTCAAGTATTTGGGAGTCAATCTTTACCCCAAGTTATCTTGGGAAAACACACTGAGCAACTAGCAAAAGAATTATGTTCCGAAGCTTACTTGCTATATATTTTTATAAAAAAAAAACTGTCAAAAAAGTTCTTAATGCATTTCATGCAACATCTAGTGATAGAATATTTAGATTACAAAGGAGATGTGTGAGGATAGTCGATGGAAAGGTCTACAGGGAGGACTGTAAGGAGAGTTACCTAAATTTGGGTATACTAACATTGCCATCTTTATTTATTTTGTATTCATTGAAATATGTAGTAAATAATTTAACAGAGTGCACAACACACAATAATGTACACACCCACATGACTATAAATGCAAAAAATATACACCTTGAATACCATAGACTGGAAAAAACCAGAACTGGAATTTCTTACTATGTCTTGCCTCCTGAAATACGAAAACTGTCTCCAATGATTTTAAAAATATCTTAAATCTAAAGTTTTTTATTCAATTGAGGAAATCTTAAACCACAAATTTAATGATTTGATAATAACTTAAAACAAATATTTTTCGCAGTGATGCAACAACATAGTAAAATCAGGTGTGGCTGTCTTGGAACTATAAGTGTTTTTATGTTACCTATTTGTACAATGTTTATGTGTACATTGTTCCTTACTATATCGAAAAAACATTTTTTTATAACTTCAATTCTTCAACTTCAATTAGGTACCCATGTGCTTTATATGTTTATGTACTTTTTAATTTTTCACTTAAATGCCTAATATTTTAAAGTTTATAATATTGACGTGTGTAAAATTTTTTGTATTTATGAATAAACTACTCTACTCCATGTTTGCAGACAAACTTAATATCTTTGGATTTATAAACAGGTTGAGTGTGAAGCACCTGACTGACAATGAATCGACTGAAAATTCCCTCGACACACCGAGCACGAGCACCGGCATCACTAGCTCAGAGCGCTCCATGTTCAGACTGATCGAACAAGACTCAGATGACGACACTAGAAACTTGAACGAACCTGAACGCGCTGAGGAAACCGAAGCTAGTAATTTTGTTAATATATTGCCGACGCCGCTCAACGGTTCCAGGGACGCCTTGATTAACATACTGGAAGTGACTAATGGCAATTCCTCGAGAAGTTTAAGGTAAGATTTTTATATACCTACTAATCTTTCCTTTATCTATTAAAAAAAGTTTTAGTGATATAGGATGTTATTGAATACATGTAGATTGTATATAATAACACAGATTAATATTCTTAGAATGTGCAAGAGTAATTAAATTTATGTTAAATCATCGAAGTTGAGGTATATCTACAATATTTAGGCCACCTAAGGTTATCGACCCTAAACATCCAAGTCTCTATTATAATCTCGATATTCCAGTTGAAAACTACCCAATAACTTACCTTTCGATGTAGAAAGAAAGAAGATTTATTAATTTTACAAAACAACACCAATACATATTACAAAAAACTTTAGTCTCTAACCTCACAAAACGAGACAAAAGAACTAATTTACTTCTCAAACAACAGGAATCAATCTATTTTTCTTCATTAATTAAATAATTTTTACTACTGTAAAACTGAAATAAACCCAAGTTGTATTTAGATAAATAAAATAGACTAGTGTTATAAAATTTGGCTAAGTGCTTTCAGCTAAAATCCATCAACAAACCCTTCCTAAAAATATCACAATTGAATTTAGAATCGTAAAATTATTAACAGATATGTTGTGAACTCTGAACCTTTTGTTCAAAATTTTAGACATGATTTTGTCGTTAACCGTTTTTGTGTTTTTATCTTACTGCAGTCCTGAATTTATAGGAAGTGACGTAATTTGTGTTCCAAATGAAATTGTCATTAAAATTCCATGATATTCCAGAAATATATTTTTACTTTTGCAAACCATCTGCAACTTTACGGGTGATTAAAACGTCTTGCATACTTGCAGATCATCAATCAAAACCTAACCTTATTTTAGATTCGCTGCTCATCTGGTTCTTAAAAGATTTGGGATATTTATTGTTGTAGGGAAGTATTGGCAACACTATATTATTTTGGAGGTCAAGTTTGGTTTAGCTGAAATCAGTTACAAAGAAACTGTTGCCATATAGACACTTGTCATGGTAACGAGTAAACAAAAACCCAAATTCCGTGAAGTGGAAATGCGTAGTTGCAAAGTTATAAATGATTTAATTTAGCTGAAAAAGTTATGGTGAAACTGTTGCCATAGGGATGTGTATCATGATAACTAGTAAACAAAAACCCAATTTCCATGGTGAGGAAATGCATAGTTGGAAAGTTATAGATAATTTAATTTAGATGACATTAGTTATGGCGAAACTGTTGTCATGGTGATAATTATCATGGTAACGAGTAAAAAACCCAAATCCCATGGTGAGGAAATGCGTATTTGCCAAGTCATAGATTTAATTTCACACTTTAGGTGAAATAAGTAACGGGGAAATTGATGTCATAGGAACACTTGCCATAGTATCTACTAAACAAAAACCTAAATCCTCTTGTGAAGAAATAGGTAGTTGCCAAATTATAGATAATTTAATTTAAATTTAGCTGAAATCAGTCAAGGAGAAATTGTCCTAGGAACATTGTAACAACTAAACAAAAACTCAAATGTCTTGGTAAAAAAAATGCATTTTTGCCAAGTTATAGATTATTTAATCAAACGTTCACATGCAAGCCAGTATGTAGCTTTTTATTATTAGGATATAGCATAACGTGTGTCTTTTTATCCAACTGTTGCAGCAACGTTGGCATCGGTGCGGTATCTACCTGTCTTTTATTTCATCAATCTATGAATGATGAACTAACAGCAGCGCTGTCTTTTTATCCAACGTTGATGCAATCAATGCAACACCATTCCGTCATTTCAATGTTTTTTCCGATTAGATGGGACAACTGACCGCTATGGGTTGCGGGAATTAATCAGAATTAAGGAGTTAATTAATTATTTAATTGTTTTTATTTTAAAAATATATGTGTTCTAATTAAAGTAAATAGGTGCATTCAAGTAAAATTATAAACACAAATTTTAATCCAAAATATCAACTGTTATTTATTTCAACGGTCAACCATAAATAAATCGAATCCAACAAAAGGCATTCAAGGCCGCATCGGCGAAAAAACGATTCCAACAAACCGGTGGAAAAAAAAGCACACGTATAGTTACATCAATCTCAAGTCATTTGGACCTTGAGAAATTAGTCAGTCCCAAAACCCAGTGTCCTTCTACAATGCGTCATTGATTATATTTTCTTTCATCTAATAATTTTATAATTTATATTTTTTTAGTTTAAATAACCGTTAATATTATTTATTAACTTAATCATATACATATACTATAGTAATTTGTGCAACAAGAGTGGATATGTTGGCCATATACGGACAATCCACTCGAGATCTACAGTATATTTATGATATTTATTTGTAAATATAGACCAAATAAAAATGCTATTATTTATCGATTCTTCACAAGAGTAACTCATTTTAAAGTATATTTATACTCAATAACTAAAAAATGTATTGACAATTAGTTTGACAGAATTGTCACTGATTTAAAATTAAAAAAAAAAAATAATAGCTGGTTACCAAAATATGAACTGTAATTGGTTGATTTCATATTTGTGTAGTGCTCTTACTAGGTAAATGGATATGAATAATATTCGTTCAGTTGAATGCAATGGCATACTTTTTCGTTTTGTAGTCTGTGCATAGATTAGAATATCCATATTGACTCAAAGGAATATAATATCTAACACGGACCAATTGAATAACTGAATTATGTTCCATCTCCTTGACCGAAATTGAATTATTGTATGGATATTTTATACATAGACCAGTAATAAACTTTTGTGAGAGCTTTTTTCTGAATTTATTTGCCGTCTTCTCTGAAAAACTAGAGAGAAAAAAACTAGTGAAAATTAGTGGTGATAATCAAGCTTTTTTATTTTTTTTTTATTTTCTTTTTATTAAATGAATTGTTCGTAATAGTCTAAGATTCGTTTTAAGGTCGAACTTCGGCCATCCTTACTAGATGAAAGTTATTTTTTATTGCCTATGAAAATACTGTCAAGACTGTTTATGTTCCTAATGTAAAAGTAAAAAAAGCATCCCAGATGCTTCGACTATGCCCAAAATTTAATCAGCTCACTGCAGGACCGTTTAAAATTTGCTGTTTTTCTCTTTAGCTGTTTTTGAGTTATATTCAAAATTCGAAAGTTGTACTTTCCCTCAAATATTTCGAATACGGTTCATTTTTTGGGAAATCATATATATGAGAAAAATTACAGAAAATGACATCACAAGCAACGTTTATCATGATTCCTTATCTGTACACAGAATGGAAAGTAGACATAGATTGCCAGTATTTTTTTTTTGCAAACCACTTGCGGTATATTTATTAACATATTTTATTTTAAGCAGATGGTCGAAAGTCAACCTTACCTCGTATCCTGTACTATAATCAAATTAATGAACAAATTTGAAAATGTGGTTACAATTTGACATATGACATGTAAATCTATTCACAATTCAAATGAATTTTCGCGCACCAGTCATTTGTCACCTATAAGTAGGAAATTGTTTATTTACAATGTTTTGGGCGGAATTTTGTAATTGTGATTTTTTAACTGGTTTTAGATAATATTATCCACTGATCTGTATTATTTTACTGGATAGGATATAGGCTATATTTGACATACTAAAAATCCGTTCCACCAAGGAGACCGGAAGTGCAACACTGCTGGCCGATTTGGGCAAATTATGGTGGGATCACTGAACTGAATTTTGGGATAATTTGACATACCTAACCTATAATTTGATTAGTTTTTCTTCTTATTCTTCTTCTATTCCTTCTGCGGGCAATGTCCTTCGGGACAATTCACCCATAATTTGATTTTTTTATGAAAGAAAATATAAAAATGGAAACGTGAAGCATATTGTGTGTTCTTGAATGAACGTTTATTGTTTATATCATAATAATGATATCCGATACTACCTAAATAAATGAAAAAAACATCTCATCGTAATTTGTTGACACAATTAAATGACAAATTTGATGACAAATGGAAATAGAGGTTATGTTAAATAACATCCGGTCCGCCATATTATTTGCCCAAATCGGCCAATTTTTCGGAACGTTTTTTAGGGGGCTATATCCTATCCAGTAAAATAATACAGATCAGTGATATTATCATTATAATACTGTTTTTGAGTTTCATTTAGTGTTAATTTAAGTTTAGTTTCTGTGCTTTTATCATAAATATAATATTTATCATGTGTTTATAAGCTTTTGATTCAAGCACTTAAAAAAAATTATTTGTACAAAAAAATCGAAGTTTCTCAATGTGAATCGTATTTATTTAATAAGCAAAAGAAATTATGAAGAATGAATTTTTGTAAAAGATTTAAAATAATTATTTTTACAAGTTTAGTTAAGCCAATACGTAAACACATTGTATACTTGAATAATGTAATCTACTTATTTTTGGAATATATTTATAAAAGTTCAAAAGCGTAGAATATTGTGTTGTAGTTGTGAGGGGTCCTAACCCACAAATGAAGAGTTTGGAGAAATTTAAAATTTAAATTGTTCCGTTACTTTTCAAGAACCAACTGACTAGACATTTTGTAAACAATGGCCGGTGAAAATTTGCTGATTGTGGATTAGACGTTTTCACAATTCGTCATTTCCAAGAAGTCGAATAAAGTACCTACTTAGGCGTGAATGGTTCTATTTGATAGAACTATTCACTCCTATCGAGTTGTGGAAGAGACCCGATAGCGAGTTTGGCAAAAATGTGTATTTTTACGAATGTGATTGATTTCACAAATAATAAATTAATCAATGGTTGTATCAAAAGTGGCCAATTTTTGAATTGTTGTGTGTTAGGACCCAATGGCGTACCCAGATATGGATCTTGGGGGATAACAAAATTGAATATGGAGTAAACTTTTATTGTAAATTTGAGTATTCTATTTTATATAACAAAATCTAGTCGCCTAGTCCAGGAACTGATACCATAGGTTTGTTCCAACAACGATCAGAAACTAGTCATTGCCACTAGAATCCTGTGCAGTAGATTATTAAGACTGTGCATTAATACTTCGCAGAATCCTGGTTTTGCATCGTTGTTGGAACAAACCTCATATCGTCGTCGTAGACTCAAAACCTCGTTTCATAAAATTACTAGGTTTTCAGGAAACACAAAAACACTTTTTTTTCTGTAATTGTTAATTTTGTAAAAGTAGCTTTTTTATGTAATAGAAAAAAAGGCAATTCAAAAAGATGCCAAATGGTTAAAGAGTTACATTTTTAAAATTAATCTCTCAAAAAAAAACAAAATTACATTCAGTTACGCTAAAATTAAAATTACGAGGTTTTGACTCTACAACGACTATATTACATAACTGATCGATGAATTATATTATGACGCTGATACAAGCAGAAAACTCGGTTTTTAAAGTGCCACGAAAACTTCTCAATTTTTATTTAATAAATTACTTCTAACACCTTTATGATGTATTTGATTTAGTAATTATTATAAAGGGATCTAGAGGTATCTTAGTTTTATTTTTTCTTATGATCACTTATCACTTTGATGATGTGTTTGAGTTTGCGCACGTGCTGGACTTCCTGGGGGGATATATCTCTATTATCCCCCCGTGGATACGCCACTGTAGGACCCTTCACAACTACAACAACGATTGGCGGGGACAAAATTAAATAAAACCGTTTTTAATTAAGTATTACAATCTGTTGTTAAAATTGGTTCCAGTCGTTTTTAAACATACATTTTCTCACTTTTAATTGTATAACAATAACTAAGATCAACCAAACTTATAAACTCATACAATTCCCGATCCCAAACACCGAAAATTCCTTAATAATACCTTTCCTCAAGGAGTAACGGGCAGCTATATTTAGTAAAGTCAACTATAAACAACTATAATGTATTATAGGCGAAGTTATCGTCATAGGCCTAGCAGATACCTGCAGGCCGGCACAACAACATTAGGAGTTGTGTTTATTGTTGTATGTTGTAAATATTTTAATAGATGAATAAATGTTTTAAATTAAAAAAAAAATGTAATTTTTAATAACGCCCTGCCTAGACTGTTGTTTAAAAGTATTTTTTAACCCTAATTAGATCTTCCACGTCCGCCTTGAGGCACCAGTCCAACGAGGAAGACCACCATCAGGCAGTCAACGGTTCCTCACCTTCTCCCCCCGCAGCAGACAATACTCCCGTCGACCAGGGCTACAGCGAGAGCAGCGACAGTGAATTGGAGTACACTCGCACACCCAAACGAAGACACCCCAGCATCTCGGACTCCGGTTGCGGTACAGGCCCGAGTTCCAGCAGCAGTGTCAATTCCCACAAAACTCCCAGATTGGCTCCGGGATGTTCGACCGACAACAGGAGCCCCGATAGCGAACAGTGTAGATATAAGAAATGTAGGTATACGATGCGGAAGGCCAGAAGGGTCAAAAAGAAAATTGGTGCAGATTCAGATGAAAATTGAGTTGGTTTTAAAAAAATTTCTTTATTTTTTTTCTTGTATCTTCTGATAAAGTTAGCAAGATGATTGACGATAGAAAATATTGGTTATCAATATAATACCATTTTTTATTTTATTTTTTAACTTAAAAGTTTCGTTTGTTGAAAGGCTCTTTTATGTAATAATTTTGTTTATCTCCTAAAACTGTTAAGTTGCACATCTAAATTAGGTAAACTATTATTTTTTCAAGATAGACCAAATGGGTCCGATTTGGGTTTGAAATAACTTTGGAAATACATTTAAAAATCATTTATTTTATAGTAGAGAAAATGTAAAATAAATTACCTCTTCGCCTTCCTTGAAGCTATGGATCTTTTTCAATACATTTTCCATATCTGTAAATTCACATAACAACTAGTATTTACAGTGGGATATCATGTGGATCAAATTGCGAACCCTTTGTTAACTTGTCTCAATTTGTTAACAACCAGTGGACGGAAAAGTCCAGAATTATTTTTATGATATACTCGTGACAATGCAGCTATCATACCAGTTCTTTGTTGAATAACAATCATTATGAGGCAACATGCCATTAATGTAGTTGATTCAGTGCTGTTTCTCTATGGAGCTTTTTCCGAAATATCTTTGATCATGGTGCATGCCGTTCAGTTCTTGATTCATTTCTCATTTTATCCCTTAAAATGATTCCAAACCTTGCATATATCTAGATGATATTGATGGCTTGGCACATTCCTAGATTTTAGGACCATAGGTCCAAATGGGCTTCAGTCTGGCTTTGTGCATCGATATTTTGTTGGTCAAGACAGCTTTGATGTTCTGCAGAGTCACTGCGTTTATTGTATTCTTTTAGTTTGGATGCTTTTTTTAAGTGAACATACTTCAATTGTTCACGTTTTTGGCCTATCTTGAAAATATAATGCTTAATTAAAAGAAATATATCGTTGTTTCAAGGTACTCCATAAATGACTTTGGTATTGAGTAGAAAACGCTTTCTTTAAATTTGGTTTATTATTTACGATCAGTTTCACTTTTCAATTAATACTATAACTTAATTGATCTTGCTAACTATATTAGCATTATTTCTTGGAGGGTCTTGGAAGATTTTCAATAAATTTGTGTCTGTCGGTACGTCACTTTGATGCGGTATGATCTACTAATATACAGTAAAATTAGATTGCTAATAAACGAACTTTAAATAATCATCAATGTTATAAACTTAAGGTAGAGAGTTGTACGTTTTTTTTTAATTTGGAGCACCTTTTTTGATATTCGACTTAATCGTTGGTGACGAAAAATTATTAACAAACCTTTCACTATGCGTAGATTATCCTAAAAATATATATATTTGTATAAAAATTAAATTTTTCAAGACCTTCAAGTTTCTTGATTACGTCGCGATACTTTATATAACCTTGTTGCAAATTATTTTCTTTTATTTATGATTTTATGTATCATTCTATAAATTAAATATACAAAATAAAGTGTTTTATTTTCCCATAGAATTAAACCATTCTCTAATCTACATGATTAAAACAAGTGTTTTTTTATAGCATGTATTTATTAATTCTATACAACAACATATATTATTAACTAATATTAAACAAGAAATTGAGAACAATATTTATTCAATTTGATAAAAAAGGACTAAACCACAAAAGTAAAAATAAAAAATATTAACAAAATGCGGCAAAATTTTGTTTTCTTACAAAAAATCAGTCGGGTATTGAAAAATGGCTTATTTTGGACAAAAGTAATAGTATAAAGTATGTCCCAGAAATAAACAATAATTTTAATTAGTTAACAGAATTCTTTCAGGTTGTTTTGTCACAGCGCTACATTTTAAACTAAATTAAGTTATTAATTTCGTCTGTAAATTTAGAACTTCAAATATTCACCAAAGTTTCAGTACTACATTAAGAATATGGGGTAATTACTTGTGAAATTAGACAAATAAGATTAGTTTTTATTATGAAATTGACAGGTGTAAAATGGATTATTTTTGTTTTTAGTATACTAATTATTTATTTGTGTATTATCTTATTATTAATATTATTGTCGTAAAATGGGACGAATAGGATCGAAAGTGACTTTATTATTTAAAAAGATTTAAAAAGCAAAAACAGCACATGTCAGAAAATTTAATTTTTGAGGTATAGGCAACACTGCCTTCAGATAATCCATAGTTATCGGTAGGTAATTTTATTTCCGGCAAAAACAACTCATATCACCCGTAAAAAGCCTATCGAAATATAGCATGCATTATCAAATGAGTTACATCTAAGCCCATTGTACCAGGGTCCAATCCCACTAAATCTAGTGAAGTTAGCAGACCTGCAAACACTAAGCAGTGTTCTTAAAGAAAAAAACATTGCGCATTTTACGACTCTCTAGTTCCTGGTAACGGTGGTGGCGAAGACCAAGAAAATCTCGATGAAGAGGATAATAGTAGTGCTTACGGTGATTCTGAATAACAAAAACAATATTTTTTTATGTTCGTTCTTATTTTAGTAATATTTAAGGTTTCGAAATAATTTATTTTGAAGTTAACATAATAAAGGTGTTTATTTACAACCATATATGTAATGTTGTCATTACTAACGTCATTGAAGGTTGGGAAGTGTCATATTACACACCTCTACTTCCCGCTCTCATTTCATCTATTCTAGATGAATATTTTTTATATAAAAAAAATAACACATTTTTTTGACAAATTTTATAATACCTATTTAATGGCAAACAAAAAACAACAATGAACTAAAATATAACAAACTACTTATTGATATTTATTATTCGCGAATTTAATATCCGCCTTTATCTGACATTTATTTATATTGGTGACAGTTGTTTACCCCGTAATCACAGTAACAATATATTTCCTTGATTGTTCTGAGAAAACCGAGCGCTTGGTAATTTGTCGTTAAATGTAATATTTTAGGTATGTTCAGAACGAAACAGAGATTTATTAACTTTGATCGAAATATGATGGTTGTAAATAAAATAGTATACAAACCTCGGTAGGAAGTTTCATTCCTGTCTCGAGATCATAGCTAACCTCGACGCTTCGCGTCTCGGTGATCTAACTAATCTCACGACAGGAATGAAACTCTTCCTACCTCGGTGTCTAATATACTATTAAAGTATTAATTTCTGGTCAGTTTCTGTCAAAAATCAAATTTGTCAAAGAGAAAAATCAAAGTACTAACTAAATATTTTGTTTTTTTTTATAAAACTAAACTGTAGCTAATAAAGCCTATAGTTTAATTTACCGATCTAATAATATTTTACGCTATTACTGATTTTCGTGTTTGAGATATTAGGTTTTTTAACTATCCTGAAAATATTGATTTTTTGACAAGTGCTGTTTTTGCTATAAGCTTTTCAAAACATTCCTGATTTAAGATTTTTTTGAAATTTAATGGATTTTCAGTCGAAAGATATATAGTTATTGATATAGTAGATATCTTTTTTACACTCCCAAACAAATGAGACAACATCGTATCCTATGCAGCTTAATCCAAAATTAAAAGTATACAGATTTATTCGATATACAAAATTGAACGCTGTTGAAGCCAGGTACGAAATTGATTATTCTGGCCAGTACCTAAAAAGAATATAAAATCGGTTTTTAGATTTATTTTAAAAACCACCTGTTGTTAACGATCGTGGAGTGAACTGGTTCAGATGGTCTATGGCAGGAGCAACTGTAATAAATATGCTTTTCATTCACTTTTAAATATTAAATTTTACCAATACGAAATATTCGAACTAATTCGGCATCCAATCACTATATTTTTTAAAATTAAATCTAATTCTGCATCAAATCATCCCGTATTTTAAATTCGTAGCCATGAATGGACCGGCTCATTCACCGGTCAGCAGGCTCGCTGATGGAGATTCCGAGAGGAACGCATAGGACCCACGAAACAACGGAGGGTTCTTCTTAGTCCAGTAACTACGTAAATTTAGGGGAGACGCAGGCAAGATGGCATGGTAGGGCTAAATGGTATACCATTTATATTACGGAGATACGTCACTATAATAATCAATAATAATGAACGAAGTTTCTTTAACAAAAATATTCAACAGTAACAGCAGTAAACGCGAAATTTATTATAAATTAACATATTATTGTATAGGTACCAAGGGCGGCTCTAGGTCGTATTTTCGGAGGGGACCATTTCCTCTTTAGCATGTTTTTTTTTTAATAAAAGAATAATAAATTACAAAAATTTTAATGTCAGGGGGCATGTCCTCCTCCCTGGAGCCACCATAGTGTAAATATACCTAACCTAAAATTAATCGAATTAACTTTAACACATTTTTTTTAGCTTCCAAAAAAACAACAAAATTATAGTACTTATTTCTGGGACACCTTGTATATCTCGGGACAAATTCGGACGACCACTTTCTGAATATTTCATAGATTCAAAAAGTGTATTTATTGAAAAAGTATGGATACATTGGAGGAAGAGCTGGTGACCGAAATGTAATGGTCATTTCAGATCAAATCTGACTAAATCTTGTTTTATGAATATTAGATCACCTTGTTTCTTTTGGTGCCGAATTTAAAAACAAATAGCACCTTTAATTTTTGGTAATTGGCTAAACTGGGCATATAACCTAATAAATAAAACCGCTGATTTCTTCTGTTAATTTATGGGTCACCCATGGCTATCTATATAATGGCTTCTGATAATTCTCTCTTCTACCCTTTTGCCAATTTTGCTGTAATATAGTAGCCTTACTGTAACCCACCTCCCATAGACTCTCGACAAACGAGTAAGCATACGCTTACAAAAGTTATATAAAGGATAGGTTGAGTAGACAAAAGTTTTCCTGTCTGTTTTAGCACTTAAACGGCCCATTCACGATAAAAATTGCCGCGTCGCATGCGGCGCTACACAATTCTTAGATACTAATTTCTTCGTGAATGGCTTTGTGTCAGTTCTCGCATGCATTTCTGAGACGGTATCACTGAGACCATCGTCCAGTGTTGCCAATAC